TCAATGCATCTCTATGAGGAGGTGCTGATTGGCCCTAAATGGCATTTGGCCCCGCCTGCCTGCCGATTTCAGCCAAAAGCATTGGATTGGCTAAAAATCGGCAATTCTGATATCACCAAGGGAATGGACCCACGCAGTGCTGGAAATAAGGTGAGTTTTATTAACTTTTAAGGGGGTGCAAGTCACCTAAATGGTGGGGTTTTACTATAGGGTCAGGAAAACACATTTGTGTTCCTGACCCTATAGTGTTCCTTTAACTGTTTTAGTAAGCCACCTGGCTAGTGCATGTTTAGAGATCTCTTCTCTAGAGCTTTTCCTTGGAAAAGAATAAACAGATGGTCTGACTTCCTGAAAGCAGCCGTTTTGCGCAGGTATATTTGCAAGGCTCTGCAGATGTCCAAAGTATGCATTATTTTTGTTCTTGTGTAGAGGCAGAGGAGTTTTAGAAAGATGGTAGAATAATAGGCTAGTTGATCTCTCTATTAGAGATAACCTTACGCAAAAACGATGGTTTACAATGAAAGAAAACTTTTATCTGAATGGATAATGGTAAACTCCTCTGATGAGGCAAGGGCTTAGAGAAATTTTACTGGGATGCCTTCCAGGGGCTCAAATGGTGGTTTGCATATAGCCTTGAGAACCAGAGATAGGAACAAAAGATTTCCGATGAAGCCTGAGAATTAAAATTACTTTGAAAAATCATCTAAGTAATAAATCAGAAGCGAAGAGAAAATGGCTCATTGCTGACAATTGACAATCAGGAAGCCTAGAAGTACTATCATAGAAGGTCGTAGCTGTTACTTTTCCTGATTTTTGAAGTATGAACATGCTGTCACAGAAGATGTTTTGATTTGGCTTTCAGCAACCAGTCATCCACATATGGGATGATAGAAATTCCTTTCTCTCTTAAAGCCACCATAAAAGGAGTAAGAATTTTTGTGAAAATTCCTGGTGCTGATTTTAAACTGAAGGGCAGAGCCTTAAACTGAAACTGGTAGAGAATTGTACCAACCATTAAAGCAAATATTAAAAACTTTCTTGACTTTGAATCCATCGCAACGTGTAAGTACGCGTCCTTGATGTCTAATGTGGCCATGAAGTCCCCTTTTTGCAAAATGTGAGTGGCCGAAATGATAGTTTCCATCCAAAACTTCACATATAGGATGATCTTGTTCAATTTTTTTAAATCTAATACCAGATGAACAGAATGATACTGTTTTGGTACTAGGTAGAGGCGAGAATATACAACACTTGAATTCCTGTTTCTTTGTGATTTTTTTACTACTGTTTTTAAGAGTGAGAGAGCCTCTGCCAGAAGAGATTCTGCCTTTACTTTTGATGAGTAAGATGAAATCAGAAACTTTGTCTTTGGTTTCTCTGTAAACCTAAGTCTGTAACCTACAAATTTTGAGTGGTCTTCCAAGCGTTGTGAAAATATTGGAGCCTTCCCGCTACTGTTCTGACACCAGAACCTCCTCTTTTTATCTTGTTGACTGTTCTGCTTGTCATCAAATTTGGTATATTTTTGGTATCTCTGAAAATTCTTCAATCTATCTTGATACCCATAACTGTTTGCGAGACTGAAAATTCTTATAACCCAGTTTCCAAGAAGGTTTTCTATCTTGTGGAAAAGCAGTTTCAGACATTTGTCTGATGAGTTCCAAATAGTTTTTCTTTCTAATGGCAGTTAACGGAATCCTGATTTTTGAAGCAGTGTCAGCTATCCAGGGGATTAACTATCAAGCTCTTCTGGTCACTGAGGATAGACCCATAATACGAGCTGCTAATTTGATATATACTCATTAGATAACCTCATATTCATCATAAGAGGGGATAAATCTTTGTGCCATATACTAAACAATCTTCCAAGGATAGTATCCAAATATTCTGAACTTTAGCAACAGCTGCTCCTGCCAATGCCGCCTTACATTGAAAAGAAGCAGATTGAAGAGCACTTCTAGCAGATGTTTCTACTTGTTTCTCCTTTGGATATTTTAGCCCGGACACTTCGCCAATTGGTATGGTTGTTTTTTTAGATAACTGAGAAACCTGAATGTCCTCTTTAGGTAGTTCCTTCAATTTTTATCCACCTTATAGTGTCTGGAAATAAATGTCCTCATTTCCCGTTTTTTCCATTCTCTCTGCATCAAACTGAGAAGTTTTTGTAAAACCTGTAGACTTTTTTCCTTGGGTTTGAAGGATGTCTTCATTTAAAATCAGAGTAACCTCCTTAACAAACTTTCTCCATTTGTCTGGTGGGAATCCCATCTCCACACTATAGATGTCGTACATAATGAATTTGACATTTATGAAGCAAAACATTTTCCAGAAGATAATTCTGACCTTGATGAAGGTTTCCTTCTTTTGTATCTTTTAACGGTATGCCCTTGTACCGCTACTGAAACACTAAATCTTACCGTCTCCTTAAATGACTCAAAAATTTGGTTCAAATTTTATTGAAACCAAGAAAGAAATGATTGCATATCCTTCTGTTTTGTTTTTTTCAAGGAACATGGGCTATAAATCTTACCTTTGGACTTCCTGTTTGGGAGTGGAGTACAATTAGCATGACAATTGCTAAGATTTTGTACTTAACTGAAACAGAGTTTTTTTTAAAGATAAAGACTAATACATCTCACCTTAGAAAAACATCAGAGCTGTGTGGGGTGGCTGGTGATCAGATCCAAACTAAACAGCAGACAATATAGTCTTAACAAAGACTCTTATTGTGTTAACACATTGTCTAATTTGACCGAAAGGCTTGAAGGTCCCATCCTTGTGCATACCCTATTACATTTTATTCTACAGCTTCTCTGGACACACATAATCCCACACATCCATGTCAGGTGCCTCCAGGCAGGTTTCACATCTTACTTGGGGTCCATCTGGTGTCACTTCCACTGGTAACAAAGAGCTGGAAGCACTCTGTCTGAGCTAAGCCCTGCAGTGCACTAGCACTTTTCTTTCTGTTTATGAAGATAGACTGGGCTAAATTTATTTTAAAAGCAATTGAATTGATAGAAATAGGCTTTCTGGAAAACACATCCTAGAACTAGGGATCGACCGATATTGATTTTTTTTCGAGCCAATACCAAAAAATTGTGAACTTTCGGGCTCATAACTTACCAATATTCTGTACATTTACCGTATTTTATTATTATTTTCATTAAGTGGTAAATGCACAAAATATACATGCCAGTCAGATTTTTTTATTTTTTCAAAAATATTTGTGTCCGTAGTGGATGCAGTGAGTATATTTGATTAGTAAATGCAGTGTTTGTGTAGTGGATTCAGTGTGTGTGTTTGTGTAGTGGATGCAGTGTGTTTGTGTGTAAATATGTGCGGTAGGAACTCCGACCCCTTACCTGTCTCTTAGTGCCCCCCCCCCCATTCCCCTTGATGTTACTCTCCCTTCTCTTTTAGTGCCCCCCCCACCCCAGTATTCCTTTTCCTCCCCTGTACCTTAGTGTCCTCCCTTAATGTTCCTCTCTCCCCCCTTGTGTCCTTCCCCCCCTTCCCTGTCCCATACTGTTCTTCCCCCTCTTACATAGTGTTCCTTTCCACCCTCCCCGCCCCATAGTGATCCTTACCCCTTAGTGTGTCGTCGTCCCCCTTTCTCGCTTCCCTCCTTGGTCCCCGGTGTGTATCTCTTCTCCTTTGTCCCCGCTCTCCGGTGTGTCTCCTGGTAGCGTGGCTGGACTGACAGGAAGTGCTCTCTCAGTGCCCTTTCAATCCATAAGTTCCTGTACCACGGTGCGCATTGCTCCGCTCGGCCACGCTACACAGAGTGCCTGGCAGGAGGGAGCGCTATGCACCCACCTCCTGCTGGTCACTCCGATCTAGCACCCCCCCCCAGGCCGGTGCGCCCAAAGGAAGGCACTTGTACCGCCTTATGGAAGCACCGGCCCACCCATTCATTATCGATATTGCCAGTGATATCTGCAAAACCGATAATTGGTCGATCCCTACTTAGAACACCTATTCCACACCAAACTTCATATTAACTCAAAAAAAACATGGCAAGACACAGCTGTCACAAGAGGAACTAAATACGTTTTATATAAAATGAGAGCAAGTATCACATCCATGAGTTCTACTAGTTATTAAGCTTGCGTTTCACTGTGCTCACAAAGAGAACATCCCTATAAAACGAGGTCCACGTGAATAAAGTGAAACTACAGGGAGATTAAAAACTGGACTATAAAAAGAAAGAATATACATATTATATACAAAAATACTATTATAGCAAAATTATGAGTAACAATATAGATTAAAATCACAAAGAAAACCCTGTACTTAAAGTTAGCGACCTATACAAGACTGAAAATGGTCTAAAAGAAAATGAAGAATGCATTGCATTTGGGTGCACCAGCCTGGGGTGGGCGCTAGATCGGAGTTACCAGCAGGAGGTGGGTGCATAGCGCTCCCTCCTGCCAGGCACTCTGTGTAGCGTGGCCGAAAATTCCAGTAATGAAAAGAAGAAATTATAATTTGCATTGTTTTTATCTCCACTTTCTTCTCTCCAAACTAGTCCTTTTATTGCTCCAAATTGTCCAGTTTGAATTTAGGTAGATGCAGTCCCTGCAAGGAATGTTGTACTTGACATTCCTACTACAAATCAGCTACTCATAACCATCGTCTGGGTGGATAAAGGACAGGAGTTTTTGGTCTAAATAAAATTGATGATTATTATTACTATATACTACTGCCACTTACTATATGATCTTCACACCTTATCACGTAGTAAAAAAGGTACATGGCTTGTTAAAAAAAAAAAAGGGTGTGCAGTACTCTTTAACCCACTGTGCGAAGCTAAAGAAGCCTATTTTATAATTAGGAACATTGAAGTAAGTGTATGTTCCTTCTTATCTAACCTCAACAACTGTCCCTAATCGTGTCCCATGTACCTCAGAAACTTCAGAGGGGGAAGCCAACAAGAGGGTGGGGAGAGAAAGAGGGTGGGGAGAAGACACCAGTGTCTCAAATGTGTGGTTTTACATCCTACTGAAGCCAGAAAGAGCTGATAAACCCAAGAGAACTTTTTCCTTCCACTATGTGTTGAGAGAAGCACAGGCAATATGGACTATATTCAGGGAAGATGTGGCAAGTCAAAGCTAGAAGAAAGAAAAAGTGAACAAAATATTTACACGGATAGAAAGAGATACGAGGCAGGAAATAGTGAGAATGTTTTAAAGCAGTGCGAGCAGTTTAGGGAAGGTTATTAGTAACCAGTAGAGAGAAGTAGAGAAAGAAAGTAAATTTGTGAAGAAGGTTAGAACAGAAACATAAGATAAAGTGACAGCAGGGGATGTGCAGGAGGAGTTCATAGGAGAAGTAGAGCCTGGAACTGGAGATAAAGAAACCAAACTAGTTAGTTGGACAATAGAACATATGGGTAAGATGTATAAAAGCCACACATAGAATAGTGGTTAGTGAAGACAAACTACATCAGCTAAAGAAAATCAGGAACAGATAAACTGCAAAGGATAATGAGAATTAACTGGCGATACTATTGGTATTGCCCAATTGAAGCATCAATATGACCAGCACCTTGTGGATGTACAACTATTAAGACATTCAACTTCTTGAGCAAACACTTTTGGATTATATACAGTTTTCTGCTCCGAGGGATGAATGTGAGAATTAAATGATCAACCCTTAGCCGAGGTGAGAACATTTTTTTTTTTCTTATTGCTTTCTTTTCTCATTGTTATAAGTATGGGAAAGTTTTGAGGTTTATTATTTTATCATCTTGTTTCCTTGGTGGAATATATTTTGCACTCCAATTATTTTTATAGCTTAAAAGTATACCATCTAGCCAAACATAGAATAACTGAGACTTAAGGGAGTTAATAGCTCAACGGATGGTATAATGGGTAAAAAAAATTTACATTAAAATGAATTTTTATAAGGACATGTATTTAGTTTTTAATCGTTAAAAAAAAAAAAAAACAATAATATAGACGATAATGCCTAGTTTTGGGGTTGAAAACTATATACAATTTACAGTGGTACTACATGTACCCTTATCAGCCACTTGGTATGTTCCTGGCTCTTAAATATGTTTTAAAGTATATTTGTGGCTGGCAGTTTTTATGAATTTCTGCTAAGTGATTGTATTTAGTTACCACTGGCATAGGTTATACCAGTGTTTTCCCAAGAAGTCAGAGAATTCTAAAAAAAATCAGCAGTTTAGGGCCAGGGTTGAAAGTTTGCTAAAAGACAAGTAAAATAAAATGCACGTTGATAAGAGAACATCATAACTCTATATTCAAAAATAGTTAAGGCAAAGCTGTTTGCCTCATAGGAGCTACTTACATTTAGCAAGTTTTAAGGGATAGGTGGTCTTAGAAATAGAAGTTTGGAGCACCTGCCTTCAAGGTACAAATAATGTAACCAAGTTCCCCCTAATCTTACATTACCAGTATATTTTTTTTAAACTGAGCCTTTTTGGTGGCATTGGTTTAATGACACAGCTGTCATAAGTTTTAAATGTGTATATATAGGCTGGACACCACTGGTTGTATAGCTAAGACTGGTGACGTGGTGCATTAAATAAAAACGTTTTAGTAGAATAAGGTCAGCAATAGACCAAATTATATATTCTCAGTGGCACTACTGACAATTCATAAACTGACTGCAGAGGCACGGAATAGAATTGAGGATTCTTGTAGGACGAGGTGTGACTAGCAAAAGACAGCTGAAATGAATGACATGCAAACATTATTTTAAAGACATTCTAGGTAGAGCTTCCTTTGCCTTTCTGCAGGACATTCTACTAGGTGGTTTATATACCAAATAAGTCAAAATTGCGGATTTATCCTTTCCCAAATCTGCCACAGTAAAATATATGCAAAATGCTTGTGACATAGAATGTGACGGCAGATAAGAACCATTCGGCCAGTCTAGTCTGCCCAATTTTCTAAATACTTTCATTAGTCCTTAGCCGTATCTTATAGTTAGGATAGCCTTATGCCTATCCCACGCATGCTTGAACTCCCTCCCCGTGTTAACCTCTACCACTTCAGCTGGAAGGCTATTCAATGCATCCACTACCCTCTCAGTAAAGTAATACTTCCTGATATTATTTTTAAACCTTTGCCCCTCTAATTTAAGACTATGTCCTCTTGTGGTTGGTTTTCTTTTAAATATAGTCTCCTTCTTTACTGTGTTGATTCCCTTTATGTATTTAAATGTTTCTATCATATCCCCCCTGTCTCGTCTTTCCTCCAAGCTATTCATGTTAAGATCCTTTAACCTTTCCTGGTAAGTTTTATCCTGCAATCCATGAACCAGTTTAGTAGCCCTTCTCTGAACTCTCTCTAAAGTATCAATATCCTTCTGGAGATACAGTCTACAGGACAGGCAGTTATTATAAGTTCTGAATATGTATGTAAACTGATCTCAATATGCCATATAATAGTAAAACATAATTAAAAAATACCAGTACACACTCTTTAACGATGTATGTGGTTGAACCAATCATTTTATATAGAACCACTGCCTGTTAAAAATGTATTTAAATTAAGTCCATCATCCGTTGATTCAGTGTTATCTCAACAAACCAGTAATGAAAGTGGTTGCTCTGGGATGCAACAACAATCCTGATCCCCATATTTTTGAAACTGTTATTCCCAAATAATTAGTCTTGACAACCAAAGAGGATTGATTCTTTTTTCCAGCAAAATAACTATCACAACTTTAAAAGTAATCCAAGATGGTACCCAAAAGCGGTTTTCTTTTCCCTAATTTGCATTTGAAGCCTTGGAAGCTATCGAATTAACATTTCACAAGCATGGCAGATGCTAATTAAACCTGGGGAGAATGAGACAAATATATATCACACCGTGGCAGAAATATAAATTTAAAGATGAAAATAATTAGCTAATCTCAGGGAAATAATGTGGTGAGATAGACACGAGAAGAAAATACAAGTCACGATCAAGACTCCGTATAATGTCCGTTTCCTGAAACAATAATAATCACTAATAAGGATGTATGGATGAATATACAGAGAGAGCAGAATCCTAAGTGTGAAACAGATTACAGTGAAATAATGTATCTAGAACCACAATGTGGGAATAATGTCCCTTAATTCTCAGTGCAGCATTGTGTAAGGCATAGACATAGCATAAGCAACCTTTGGCACTCCAGATGTTTTGGACTACACCTCCCATAATGCTTTACCAGCATTATGGGTGTAAGAGCATTATGGGGGATGTAGTCTACAACATCTGGAGTGCTGAAGGTTGCCTATCCCTGCACTAGGGAAAACTGGAATGTCCTTGATTGTGAAATGTTTATTGGTGCCAGACATCGTGATTTGAGTTTCCCAAAAGCTGCTAATTTCCTGGGATTTTCACACACAACACTTTCTATAAATTATAGACAATCCCAGCAATGCTGTTGAAGCTCAGTGCGCCGGCAATTGCTAAACCAGTCACAACCCTAATTAACGAATCCTTGCTGTCTGGATACAACTGGGAGAGTAGTGCCTATCCATAAAAGTGGTGGCACGACTTTGGTTTCTAACTATCGCCCAATATCATTGCTCCCAGTATTGTCAAAAATCTTAGAAAAATGCGTCCATGCGCAACTATTTGAGTATTACCAACAATCTAACTTTCTGGCCCCTGATCAATCGGGTTGTCACCAGAATCACTCCCTACAACTGCCTTCTTAAAAGTTTACAATGACATCCAAACTGGCATGGAACAAGGAGACCTAACTGAAGCTATTTTCCTTGATTTTGCAAAGGCCTTTGACACCGTAGACCATGGCATTCTACTGCACAAACTAAAAAAACATAGGTATTGGTGATCGTCCGCTAACCTGTTTTCGATCATATGTATCGGATCGATCACAATATGCGTCCATTTCTGACAGTGACTCTCTCTCACAGTCACATGTGGTGTTCACCAAGGTTCCACTCTAGGCCCCCTACTCTTTACATTATTTATAAATGATCTGCCTAATGTCTGCAAATCCGATCTACAGCAGCTTGAGGCTGTGCTCCAAGACCAGTTCACAGAGGTAGAAAAGTGGATCGCAAAAAGCAAACTCTTCCTAAACACTGACAAAACTGTCACAATGATCTTTGGAACAGTACACAAATTACAAAATTCCCATCTATGCATCAAAACAAAATCAAATAGCACACTGACCGCAGTCCACTCTTAATCTATCTTTTGGCCTCCACATAGAAAAACTTGCATCTAAACATTATCCAAAACTAGGTGCCCTGTACAGAAACAAATCCTGCCTGTGCCCTACAGTAAAGGAAAAGATTGTACGTCAAATGCTGATGACAATCATTGATAATGGGGATGTAGTATATGCACCTGAACCGCAAACCCACTATAACTCATTCTGCCGCTTTGTGCTACAATGTAATTACATCACCCACCATTGTGACATGCTAAAAGAACTAAACTGGCGTCGCTGGAATCCAGACGCACCCTTCATTTTTCCAGCCTTGTGTTTAAGAGCTTTTCTGGGAAGCTCCCACCCTACCTGAGCAGAATGCTCTCTCTGACTGTTCCAACCTCCTATAACCTCTGATCCAGTACCAGCACTTTATTTTCTCTTCCTTAATACAAAAAGAAAGTGGCTCGATCCTCCTTCTCCTACAGAGTGCCGCACTTGTGGAACGACCTCACGCACACTTTCAAATCTTCCCCAGGCCTAAAATCCTTTAAGAGATCCCTCTCTACATATCTCAAAACAGAATGCACCTGTCATGGTTGATTATATATTTCTTACCTGTTCTATGTTAAATTTTGTATATATTGTGTATTAGTTGTTTTTCTATTTTATTCGTACCCTATTGTATCAATGCAATGTTTTGTGGACCCAGGACGTACTTGAAAACGAGAGAAATCTCAATGTATCTTTCCTTGTAAAATATTTTATAAATAAATACGCATAACAGCAAACATGACTTGGTAATGAGAGAGGTTAGAGAATGGTCATACAGTACAATAGCATCTCCAACTTGTTAAACTTCAGAAAACTTCATCATGTACTAGAAAAAGTGCAGAGGCGGGCTACAAAATTAATAAAAGGAATGGAACATATCGGCTATGAAGAAAGGTTAACAAATTTAAACCTATTTAGTTTAGAAAAACGTCGCCTGAGAGGGGATATGATAACATTATACAAATATATTCGGGGCCAATACAAACCATTGTGTGGAAATCTATTCACAAACCGGACTTTACATAGGACATGAGGACATGAGTTTAGACTGGAAGAAAGAAGATTTCGTCTAAGGCAAAGGAGAGGTTTTTTTACTGTAAGAACAATCAGGATGTGGAATTCTCTGCCTGAGGAAGTGGTTTTATCAGAGTCCATACAGATGTTCAAACGGCTACTAGATGCATACTTGCAAGAACAGAATATTCAAGGATATAATCTTCCAATGTAGGGTAATAACTGCTTGATCCAAGGATAAATCTGACTGCCATTCTGGGGTCAAGAAGGAATTTTTTTCCTAGCTTGTTGCAAAATTGTGCTTCAAACTGGGGTTTTTTGCCTTCTTTTGGATCAACAGCAAAAAACAAATGTGAGGTAGGCTGAACTTGATTGTCGCAAGTCTCTTTTCAGCTATGTAACTATGTAACTATGTCCCGCTACTGTCAGCCAAAAACAGGAATCTAAGGCTACAATGGACACAGACACACTAAATCCTGATATATACATTTGGTTGTTTGTCATGGTAGACCTTGCAGTTATATATCCAAAATCAGTCACAATGTTAGCGTTCTACCTTGAATACACGGTACAGCTGTTGGTATCTGATTAAAAGTAGGGTAAAATTGACGATATATCTGCGGAAAAAATGCTAAAGCTTAAAGTGGCTCTGTTACGTTTTACTGTTTCATAAAGATAACTACATGTAAATGGAATCTATATGAAATACTGATCAAGACTGCGTTGGAATTTTACTGAAATTCCAACACAATGAAAAGATACCATTCGGCAAAATAGGGACTACTTTGTCCCATAGGCGTCCCATAGCTGTCTGCTTCCTCTCGCCGCGTGGGCTGTCTACAGTAGCTGGGAGCCGGAATATGATGTCATATTCCGGCTCCCGGAATCAGCGCGCGGCGAAAGGGAGCAGAGAGCAGACAGCTCCCTCGCTGCGGCTGAGCTGGAGAGAGGGGGGGGATCCATCACCTCTTGAGGTGAGACAGGGGGCGCTGAGTGCCTGCAGGAACAGCGTTCCTGCTCAAAAAAAGTGCAGGAACGCTGTTCCTGCAGGACTCAAACCATAGGCGTGCCACGGGGATTAGGGTGTGCCCAGGCACACCCCGCGTGCACGCCTATGCTTTGTCTTATGGTAAATCTGAGTTTGACAAATGATGGGGCTCTGCCATCAACTTTGGTCTAATCCCAGCAGCCATCACAATTGATGGCTGTGTGATTCAAACATTGATCTATAAAGGCTCCTGTAGTCTCTCCATAGAGCTCATTGCTGTAGTCTCGCATATGCAATCTGTTTTTGGGGGATATTGGTGAAAGACCCCAAAAGTGACAGATCACTTATGCGAGACTACAGCAATGAGTATTTTTTTTTTACTTTTTAACAATCTTTTACATCTTGTTTAATTTTAAGCTGATAGGAGGACAATCTTTTACATCTTGTTTAATTTTAAGCTGATAGAAGGATGAAAAACTTCTGCTAATATGTTGTCATAACGAAGTACCGTATATACTCGAGTATAAGTCGAGTTTTTCAGCACATTTTTTGTGCTGAAAAACCCCAACTCGACTTATACTCGAGTCAATGTCTGTATTATGGCAACTTACATTGCCATAATACAGACAAGGACCGCCGGGCTCATTACAAGCCCAGCGGTCCTGTTGGGGACTGGCAGAGAGCGGTAACTTACTTTTCCTGCAGCTCCCTTCTCTCCTCCGGTCCGGTCAGCTCCCTTCTCCTCCACTATAAGTCTCGCAAGAGCCGCAGGGTCAGAGCGTTGCCACGCGTTACCATGGCAACACTCCACGCGGCACTCACACCGCGAGACTTGCAGTGGAGGAGAAGGGAGCTGCAGGAAAGGTAAGTTACAGCTCTCTGCCAGCCCCCTCCTACACAGCCCATCCACTGGACCACCAGGGAATGAGAGCCCCCCACCCTGGCCAGCTAACAAGCAGGGAGGGGTACAAAAAATTATAAATAAACATTTAAATAACAATAAAGAGAAAAATTTAATAACATTAAAATAATGCATCACATATACACACTGCATTCATACTCGTGTACACACACTGCACTCATACTCATATATATATATACACACACACTGCAGTCACACACACACACTGTATTCATACACACACTGCATTCATTATATACATACACTGTAAATAAATATTCAATTAATATAATTTTTGGGGGATCTAATTTTATTTAGAAATTTACCAGTAACTGCTGCATTTCCCACCCTAGTCTTATACTCGAGTCAATAACTTTTCCCAGTTTTTTGGGGGTAAAATCAGGGGTCTCGACTTATATTCGGGTCGGTGGTTAACGCTGGGATGGACTCCCTATGGTTGACATTTCATCATTCGTTGCTGGTTTTGTCCCTGTTCTCGGACGTCCTCTTGCTAAGTATCCGGTTGCCCTTCTAGTTCTGGACTGTTCCTGGTTTCCTGTTTGCTGTTTGTGGGTAGCATCTCCAAAGAAAGAGGAATTGGGTGGCGAGGTGCTGCCTATTATACTGGGACTTGATATGGGAGTGACCTATCACTATGGTTACCGTTTTTTCTTACTGTTTGTATTCTTTGCTGCTATTGGTGGACAGTAAAGAAAGGGATATGCAATACTCGCCTCCGTATCTTTCATAAAATCATGACTTTTCGTCATGAAATAGCAAAATCATGTAATTTTCAGAGAAAAGGCAGTGTTTACATTACTGCCTAGAGACACCTCCAGTTGCCACTCCTCAGACGGCCTCCTGTTGTGCTTCCTGGGTCAGTGCTGCACTGTATGCATGCTGACATTCAACGTGGAGATGCTGAACGCTCCCTATAGAGATGCATTGACTCAATGCATCTCTATGAGGAGATGCTGACCTGCACAGCATTTTGCCCTGCATGTGCATGAGCATCCCAATGCTTTCCTATGACAAAGCATTGGATTGGTTGATGATCTCAGTCAATGAGGTGTAGCATGAGCGAAGACAGTCATCACTGGAAAAAGAAAAGTAAACTACCTTTTATAAGGGGGCCTAAATTGTGTTTTACACCTATAGTGTCAGGAATACACATTTGTATGGTGTTCCTTTTAGTATTTGAAACAGGTAGAGTTTAACTTTGGGGTTTCATTAGCACTATAGTAATCAGAAATAAAAATCCTGCTTCTTTCTTTTTCAATGTACTCAAATCAAGTCTTTATTTGAACTAGTAGGAGTGAGTTCATCCAGCTTTTAGACCAAAGGACTTTTAACTGCTCATCCTTCTCACTGATATTTCACTTTTTAGTTGACTCCACTATATCACCAACTATAAACAAAAACATCCACATGTTAGAAATGTCTGTCCTGAAGGTTGGGAGGAAAGGAGAGGAGAATGCACGTTTTTAACCTTTCACAGGACAGGTAGCATTGAAAAGAGGAAAGGGCAACTACCCATTTGATAAGACTGCTCCTTGTGATGAGGAAAATCGTGTTACGTCACAGGTATACATACACACACTTATCGTCGCTCGTAACGTCTCGTGTAACGGCAGGCTAACAGCTGCACGCACACTGTTGTGTGGACAGACAAGCGGAATGAACTGTACAGAAAGCCGCTGACAATTCCAGAATTAGCTTCATGTTCTCCGATAAATGAACTCCACCTTTTATTTCTAATCATGCCTTCTGTAAAGCTATTTCTGTGCCTTATGGCGGGGATGATTGATCCAATGTAACATTCTCTTTCCCATTGACTAGGTAACCATCTATAGGCCCAATTACCACACAGAAAATACACACCTCTGGGAAGGACACTGTAACTATTATCTGGGGCCCCACTAAAACAAGTGTCCAGGAGTATAGAAATAAAGGGAAAGCTCGGTCTATTTATTGCACCATGAGAGGTCATACTTATTACTCTCACCACTGGGCTGGAGTCTTTGACAGTCATTGCCCAATGTTGTTCATTACCATAGCCCTTTACCCAGGCAGATGGACAGTTAGAATATCCCATTTTAGTGGCATTGGCTCTGTTGTTATGTGAACTGATACAAATAGCACCTTCCTGGGGGCGGTTTATAACATGCAATCTGTCCAATGATTGTGGCTTTCCTTCTTCTCAGTACCAGCCGAATCCTGTATTATTATATTGTTTTAACTCCTCCAATGTCCATGGAACACCAACATATGGGTAACTGCTCTCCTCGCTGAATGATATATATCCAGCAATCCGTGCTGTTTGACACTCTCGAATAACTTGCTAATAGATTTAGGTATGAGTTGGAGGACCAGAGATCCGACTTCTCTATATAGCCACCAATCTGTTGGAAGGAAAAAAAACAGGGTGAGTACCTCCACTTAGTAATACAACTTTAGTGTCACCAGGTCCATTGGACAGTATTTCTCCCTTCTGTTTGACTTGCTCACCTGCTCGTGGTAGCACCCATACTTTGGAACCTGTCTATAAGGTATTGCTTTCCTCCCATGTCACTAATACTTTCCGTGGGATCCAAATGGATACCACGCCTAATACAGTGTGTGTGAAAATCTGGTCTGGACACCCCCTGGTCAATGGGATTTCCCACAAATCTGATAACACATTTACCATCCCTGTGGTCAACCATTTATCATCTCTTAGCTCCTCTGTTAGGGCGAAGGTCACTTCAGTCCCTTCTGGTAATATCCCACCCATGGGAAGGATGTATGTCATCCATTCATCACCCTGTACAATCTCAACTAGGTTCTGGCTGACCACTTTAAATTTGTTCTTCCCCACCTGTTGGGGGAAAGATCCCTTGAACCTTAATCGAACTGACACAGTTGGTGTCCCTACCTGTCCAGTCAATCTTTCATAAGGTGAAAACTGTCCTATCGGTCTACTATTTAGTATCTGCCTGCGTGATCACCCGGTCCCACCCCTCAATGTCATACTTGGGGATAGCTTCCGAATCTGTTCTTTTAAAAGCCCATTGCACCTTTCAATCAACCCCAAAGCTTGAGGATGATAGGGGATGTGGAAGATCCACTTAATCCCTGAGTCATTTGCCCACTGCTGTACGAGCTGTCCAGTGAAGTGGGTTCCATTGTCTGTCTGAATCTCAGATGGCAGTCCATAAGCAATCACAAGAGTCTGTAGTATCTGAAGTGTTGAGGCCTGGTTTGCATGTTTGCAGGGTAATACTTTCAGAATTCCGGAAAAGGTGTCTACAGCAGTACAACAATACATCAGCCCCCCTCTTCCTTTAGGCATGGGACCAATGTAGTCCATCTGCCAGATCTGTCCGGCTATTGTTCCTTTATTTAAATGTCCACGGGCTTACTTCGTGAGGGGCCATTTCTTAACCTCGTTGCAGGTCTCGCATACTTCTTGAGCTTGGACAATCATCTGGAGAGTTATTGGTAGTCCTCGGGCTCGTGCCCACTCTAGCGCAGCTGCTTTTCCTCTATGACCTGCGGTCTCATGGGCCCAGTCTGCCATCCTAAGTAATACTGGATCTGGTGTTATTTTTGCTTCTCGTATTCGGGTCAATTAATCGGCTATCTTATTCGCGTTCTCATCTCCAGTACTGTCTTTCACATGGGCATTAACATGTCCGAGGTGTATTAATCTTGATTGGGCTGTTTTCCATATATTTTCCCATAAATCTTCTCCTCCCCATACTGTCTTGCCATGTATTTGCCACCTGTTGTTTCTCCATGTTGGCATCCATGTAACAAAAAGCCTTGTACAAAGCCCAGCTATCTGTATAGATGTAGAGCTCTGGATCTGTGGTTTCTTCCATCAGTATGACTATGGCAGTCAATTCAGCATATTGACTAGATCCTCCTATTCCCTTCTCTTGAATCACAATTTGTTGCTGAGGGTTGTAAGCTACTGCAGTCCAATGTTGTCCTTTGTGGGTCATGATTGCAGACCCATCTGTGAACCATGCGTTTTTCTTTTGTTCTTCACCCAGTTCTCCGAATGAAGGAGCTGTCTTTATGGGTGAGGGCTGTAAAATTGGGACATCTTGTACATTGGGATGTGAAAGTGTATCATATGTCACTAACCCAGTAAGGAGTTTGGTCAGTTCCTTCACTTCCCCTGCTTGGATCCCTCCTCTTTCCTGCAGGTACCACTTCCATTTTAATAATGTCTGACTTTGGGCCACTGTTGTCTTTGCAGATAATCATTCAACTCGTACCCATCCTGCTGTTGGCAAATCTGTTTTCACTGATACTATGCTTTTCTCAGTCATTGTGTCCACATGCTGCAGTGCGAGGTATGCCGCCAGAAGATTCTTCTCCAAAGGTGTGTACCTTTGCTGAGCCCCAGTCAATTGCTTGGACCAAAACCCAATTGGTACTGCCCGCTTGCCTTTGTCTTCGCTCGGTTGCCATAGTCCCCATGATGCTACGTTGTCGTTCATTATCACATCCAATATGAACGGAGCTCCAATTTGAATTGGGCCCAAGCCCTGATGCTGTAATACTGCTTCCTTTGCTGCTTGGAATGCTGTAGCTTGATCAATTCCCCATACAAATGCTGATTTCTTTCTGGTAACATTCTGGTAACATTGTATATGGGGCGTAGCAGCAATCCTAGATGCGGTATAAATGCTCTCCAGTAACCAACTGCACCTAAAAACTTTTGGGCTTCTATTAATGTTCTGGAGAATTCTGAATTGTATCCAGCACAGGCTGAGGTATCTTCCGAACAGGCCCAGACCACATCACTCCTAGGAATTTAACTTCTTGGGTTGCCCTTGAATTTTGTCTTTATTTATTGCCCATCCCCGTCCAGTCATGTAATTCACTAGAACAGGTAATGCTTCTTTCACTTCCTCTTTAGATCCAGAGATCATGATGTCATCAATGTAGTGAAATACTAGAAGCTGTAGAGGTGGCTTAAATCTCGTGCAACTAGTCAATGGCAAATCGTAGGTGAGTGTATATATCCCTGGGGCACAACTTGGAAGGTATATTGGCGTCCTTCCCAAGTGAAAGCAAATTGATCTTGCGACTCAGGTGCAATAGGAATTGAAAAGAACGCATTAGCTAAATCTATTACCGCATGCCACTCCCCGTCCTGTTTGGCAATGTTTCCCACAATGGTGATAATATCAGGGACAGCAGCACTCAATGGTGGTGCTAGCTTGTTGAGTCCCAGGTAATCCACAGTCATTCGCACGGAGGAGGAACAATGACAGGTGTCCAATTTGCATTCCCCCGCACAATGTCTTTTACTGGTCTGAGATAGTATGGCTTATGAGGGAATCCAAACGTGAACACCCCCCACTGTGTCTCAATACTCTGCCCTAGTAACACATCTATTCCCAAGATATTGTCTGGCAATTCTGAAATCAAAACTCTAGCACTGAATCTTGGTCCTTTGTTAATTGACATAGCCACAACAGTTTGTACTGCTTTGGTAATTCTACCTCCTAAACCTTCTATTCTCACACAGGGTCCTGATAGCCTTGATGGATTACCATGCAGTACTGTGACTTCTGCTAAAATCTTTGTTGGTCCTGGTCTTGTCCCCCACCACACAGTTAAAGGTACATAAGGGCGTCGGTCCCCGGCGGTTAAAGGGGAGGCCCACCATTCTGTCATTGTACTACAGCACTCTCCCAATCCATCAAATCATGTGTCATCAGATCTTTTACAGGATACAAGGATCTGACTTTACCATCACTCTCTGGCAGTGCTTGTTAACTATATTTTTTTTCACTGTGCAACATGACTGTGCTATAGGCTTATTCAATCTATATACACATTCAAATATTCTATATTTAGTGATTGTGCAGTATCCCGTTCACAGCGCCAGTTGAAATGGTAAATTAAGTAATTTCTTTATATTTATGAAGTTCTGAATTTCATAAATATGAAATAATACCACACATAAAATAATAAAAGGTATACTGGTCAATCACATAAATATTAGTGAATATCTTGAATGAACAGACAAGAGGCAAAGTTTTGATGAAAGTATAAACAAAACTTTACTGGGAATACAATTATCAAGCACACAAAAAAAACAAATACTTTAAAAAACACACACTGCTATAAACAATACATTCAGGTAAGAAATCTACTTAGCTCTATTCATGGAGATTCAGCAGCTTACACAGGATAATTGAATCAGCATAACACACAGAACAATGAGGTGAGTTCCTTGCCAGATGTTAAATGGATTTACATGGGCACCTCTAAAGAAACCTGGCTTCTTCCGACCCAGTCATGAAACTGCTCTCTAGTTTCTGGTAACCCCTTAAAATAACCACCCATAGAGGTAACATAACCAATACCTAATGGTCATCTCTAGGAGGCGGATACTACATGTGGTCATTTGTGAAAGGAAGTGACTTAAGAATTCTCAATACCTTCCTAAAGCACATGTCTCATTGACTATGCAGCAGCCATCTTTATTCAGTCGACGTCACAATGCTTACTAGGCCACCTATAGGTCACTTCCTCCCTAAAGCACATGTCTCATTAAATATACAGCAGCCATCTTTTTGCTCTTAATGTCACATAGCTCACTACACCCCCTATAGGTATCATAAGTTATTGCACATGAATGGGAACACAATAATAGAACATTTATCATTGCCCATAACCAATACATGCTGTCTAATAAGTATATTGTTTTGTGTAATGTTTATGTATACCGATTTTTAAAACGATAAAAAAAAAAAAATTATGTTCGTAAATGGTCATTATATGTAATCTCATTATAGAGACTTGGGCAAGATTCGATGCACTAACAGCACTCTTTTGTTCATTCCACAGAAAGGTTCATTTTATTTATTTATTTTTTAAGTGTTCTTTTTGTTTGTTTGTTTTTAAATAGAGATATCCCCTAACACTTAGTTTAGCCCAAACAATCAGACTGAAATACAAAATACAAAGGAGGGCAGTCCAAAAATGAAAAAAAAAAAATCAAACAAATTAACTTTACAATGCTTGAACTTTAATAAGGCATCAATATGTAGACACACACCCCCCCCCCCAACTTCACCTTCCAATAATTGTTGTCACTATTGTACTTTCATGCATGCGAGAGAGTACAAAAGAGGATCTACGTAAACCTATGCAGCTGATTCTCCCATAGATATTCTCATACTTGCAATGTACATGATGTACATCATGCCTTTCTACTGTTGTGGCTGATGGGAAATGGCATTTTGCCAAAGATTGGCAAATATATCATACAAAATAGTCCATAATTTGTCTCATATATCTAAGTTGTGTTAAAAAAAGATGTCTCCATTCATGTAGTGCAATACTCTAAATATAACTTTCTTTCCAGCCAGTGTTCATGTTCTTTTAATTTACTCTTGTATTGTGGGTTTCCTGACCCTGCTGTAGTTGATTTGGGACATCGTAATTAAGGCCCCTTGTTCATAGTCCTGAGATGTGATCCCCAGCTCCATGAAGGCAGGTACCCCATAAACTGCCCAAATCCTACATCTTCCTAAACCTAGACTTTCTGGATCAGTGCTGCACCCCATGTGTTCTTGCAGTGGTAATAGTTCCGGAGAACTATTATTGCATTATCCTACTTATTGCGTTATCCTCTCTCTTAGAGACTTCTTAAACTTGACTTTAAGATTTTTTTTAAACTGAACCAAAAGATATTGCACTTATAAAATAATATGTGAACATATTAATGATGTGCATGTCTCCTGATATGTTGTCTTATCTACTCAGTACAGTGGATGAGAAGGAAGGAAAGAGGTTTAGACAGAAGAGGAAAAGAGAACATATGGTAGATCTAGTAATGAAATTATATATATATATATAAAGTGACATAGGACAAAGATAATGCAGAAAAAGACATGACAGGGTTGAGTCTATGAGTCTACTGCTTGCAATGTATATGGTAATAGATACAGAAATATTTTATATGAACAATCAAAAAATAAACTGTGAAGTGTAAAATATCTAGTGACGTATGTCCCACTGCCATACCATACATCGTACACTGGACTGAGAAATAGTTTAGGGCTCATCAATTACTCTAAGCTTGTTGTGGAATTGCCCATTTTAATGATCTCCCTGCCCTTTCTTAGTACAAAGGATATTTCAACTTTTCCTCTAGGACACTGGTTCTCAACCTGTTGAATTTGTACTACTGGGGTATGCGCACCACAAGCAGGTGGTATGCCAGGAGGCAGCCGGCTGTGCACTAAGGCTTACTCTGATGACAGGTGCCTACTCTGCCTAAATATGCTGTGTCTGGAGGAAAGAATGAAGATGGGCGGTGAGGGAGCGCTGATGCCCATGCTCTTCCATGACTGCACAAAGATGATAGCAGCCACACTAGAGCTCTCCCAAAAGTAGGGAGTGGGGTGGACTTAAATAAAAAAAATAATTGTGTGTGTATGAGAGAATGAGTATGTTTGTGTGTGTTAAATCAGTGTCAGTGAGTGTGTGTATATTAGTGTCCTCTGTGCGTAACTATGAAGTGTGTATTATATTTTCATTTTGTGACTTTTAGACTTCAAATTAATATTTCATACACTCTTTCTTACATACACAGTATTTACAATTAGTGATGTCCCGAACGGTTCGCCGCGGACTCATCATTAAGTAAACTTTGACCCTGTACCTCACAGTCATCAGACACATTCCAGCCAATCAGCAGCAGACCCTCCCTCCCAGACCCTCCCACCTCCTGGACAGCATCCATTTACATTCATTGTGAAGCTGCATTCTTAGTGAGCTGTCCAGGAGGTGGTAGGGTCTGGGAGGGAAGATCTGCTTCTGATTGGCTGGAATGTGTCTGCTGACTGTGAGGTACAGGGTCAAAGTTTACTCAATGATGACTCCGCGGCGAACCGTTCGGGACATCACTATTTACAATATGTCGTATATATTGTAAAAAATATTCTTTACTACTTGTAATCAGGCTTGTTCTCCAATATAGGATGAACTTAAATATCAGTGTATACACGTTTTATTTGGAATTTAAATCAATAGAAATTACTTGCTCAAGGCAGGGGTACTTAGGATTTTTTTTAGACCTACATGGCTACTTCTTTAAAAAAAGGAACACTACTCTATGAGAGACCCTATATTTTAGACTTTTTTTAGAAGATGGGATAAGGTGGAAGAGTAATATGCATTTGTTCTTGGATAATATTATTTTACACAAAGAATAATAATACCATTAATAAGCAGTGTACTGAATACAGTATATATATGTATCTTGTGGTGACTGCACCTGTCTTTTGGATCAAAATCAGGATTGGACCCGTAATTGGGATAGTTATGCCAAAAACAAGAAATTAAGGTGGCATGTAATATTGACAGGGACTTCACAGTAAAAATGTTTGCATTATTTCTGCACCATAAAACCTTACATTTCAGTATAATAAAATCATGCTACACTCCAACAGTTTACAGTGGACATTTCCCTTGCTAACCAAGTTGTTTTTTTTTTATTTCCAATAACATCATCTCACAGCCCTAAGCAAGATCAGAGGGGTCCCTAGACAGTGGAAAGACCCTCTGTTTGTTTATATCAAAACACTACTAATCAACTTGATATTAGATCGAGAAATAACGCCAGGGACCTCTAGGCTGCATTTTCCTTTACAGCAAGCTGTTTCATTGCTTAGATGTCCTTTTAAAGGGACAAGCATCACTTGACATTTTTTTTATTTTTTTAAACATGCAAGTAAAATTTTTTAAACAAATATCCAAATCAAAATAAAGCCAAAAAAACTTTGAAAAGCTTGTAACGCTTATAAACATAATGTTAACTTTGTCAGATTGCATTGTTGGACATACCTCTTAGCTAGAGAAGATTCTTCAGCCCCACTTCCCTCTCCCTCTTACACATCCTTCTCAGTTTCAGACTAGTCCACTAATGCCAAAAACAGAGCATCATTGTGCAGCAGCAGGAGAGAGAAACCCGACAACGGAGCCTGCTCTGCATGAATCACACTGATCTTCTCCCCATGTCAGGATGTTACAAGGATCGTCCAACTGGTACATGTGTAGATTTGTCAGGCATGCCCAATGCACCTTTCCAGTATTCCTAGAGATATTACACTGATTGGTTAGATCAGAATCGCCCTGGAGTGGATGTGAAAAGCATAAGAAAGAAAAAGCAGATAAATATGAAAAATATATATGTACCTACTTTTTTCAGCTCAGGAACACAAACATGTATTCCGGACCCCATAGTGTTAAAACCGCCACTTAGCTCCCTGGTCCCCCCCCCCCTCTTACCTTAGCAAAACCTTACCTTTACTCCAGCCTGCTGCTGCTGACTCTGACCCTGATCTGCCTGCTTGGCTAACATCATAAGAAGTTGTGTTCTGAGCCTTAGTTCTAAGCCAATCACAATGCTTGTCCATAGGATTGGCTGAGATTGTCAAGGATACAGATCAGGGGCAGAGCCAGCAGAAGCCAAACACAGCCTTAGCCAATCAGCATATCGTCATAGAGATACATTAAACCAATGCATCTCTATGAGGAAAGTTCAGTGTCTGCATGCAGAGGGTGGAGACACTGAATGACAGTGGTGCACACTGTGCAGCACTGCCCCAGGAAGCACCTCTAGCAGCCATCTGAGGAGTGACCAGTGGAGGTATCCCTAGACTGTAATGTAGACATTGCCTTTTCTCTGAAAAGACTATGTTTACTGCAAAAACCCTGAAGGGAATTATACTCACTAGAACAAATACAATAAGCTGTAGTTGTTCTGGTAACTAGTGTCCTTTTAAGCTGCTGCACAAGTAGGTGTAAGCAACAGATTTCTTCTTGATGTGCACAAGTCAAGAGCCTCTCATTTTGGTCTTTGTGGTCAGTTTATCCCACAAACTCTGTAATGAGTGGGGTCATGTAGTTGAACCTCCAGCCACAGTCCCACATATCACATGATAATGATTTACCTGGTGAATGAGTTAACAATAACCACTGACCTCTAAAGCATGTTCGTGTTTCACCAGTGAAGAAGACAGGTGTGTGTCCTAGTTGTATGGATGCACCACGTACAAGTTGGACAGATCTCAAAAAGTAGAAGTTAACATTGCTCCTCTGACTATTGCGAGCCAGGGAGCAGGGTTATTGCTGCAGTAATTCTTGGAAATCACTACATACTATGCAATTTGCAGATTGGTTATTAGGGTGCTGCGTATTCTCTTTACAATAACCTTGCGCTTGAACTACTACTTTATCATCTCATAGTCCTATTAACCTTATTCTTCTACTAGAATATTATTCTCACAGTTGGAGAAGAGGTTGCTGTACGTGCAAATGAAAAATTGGTGTCTTCTCAATTTCCTTCAAACGTATGTTGCCACTACCATTGCAAAAAAGAAAACTAGGCCCTTAAACCCATAATCATTACATAGACAACCTCATAATGACAGAGGTAATGCTAATACTGTCTAACTTTAGCTTATTACTCGACCCCTTTAATATTTCTCTCTCGAATTACGTTTATCTGTTTGGTTTCAGGTACCAAGTGACAAATAAGGATTTGGATACGCATCTGTAAGCCTGCCACCATACAGAACTATGTCCCCATGTCCTCCAAGAGTAAAGAACGGTAACACATTCTTTCCAAACTTAATGGGGGATCAAAGTGTCCAAGGTGACATGGATCTTGCTTGGCAGGAGATCCTCTCCATTACAGAACTACAGGTCAGTATACTGCTCATTTCTCTACCTCCTCATTGCATAATAGCTTGGCAGTATTTCAATGTTAACATGTATTCCGGTGTTTTATTGCATCACTTGTACATTTCATTCTTGTTTGCTATACATTTCAGTGCTACTTCCTTTTAATACCAACTGCATAAAAAAAAGAAAGAAAGAAAAACAAGCAACTAGTGTGTGTGTTCTATATATACACTTATCCGTCAATTTACTTGTCTTTGTTAACCCCTTAGGGACACAGCTTCAAAAGCTTGTCTTGAACTTAATGACACAAGCAATTTTTGCATTTTTTTTGTTGTTTGCGTTCAACTGCAATTTGCATTTTACTAATTTATTGCACCAACACATATTATGTACCGTTTTTTAAAAGGACAGAAAGGGCTTTAATTTGATATAACATATATATATATATATATATATATATGCTTATTATTAAAAAGAAAAATAGAAAAATGCAAAAAAATAAGTTCTTGCAATAATAATGTGTGCATAATTAGTGCAGGTTAAGGAAAGTAATTCAAAATAAATTAATTTAGTTCTGATTTACAGAATATATAATGCGTCTAGGATTTTACGTTTTTTTGTTGTTGTTTTTTGGTAGTTACAGGTCACAAAGAACAAGGAGTAAAATAAACTTATAATGTGGAACGATTTTAGAAGTTGGTATGTTTGTCTTGTAAGCTTAATAGCCATAAAAGAAAACAAAATTGCCACACAAAAGTATATATTTATATAAAGTAGACATCACAGGCTATTTACCTAAGGTTATTTTGACACTTTTTACGTAGCCATTTCACTGCCAATCTTTGCTAAATATTGGAGTAACATTGTGTTTTTTTTTGGTTTTTGACACAAACTTATAACAAAGAACTCCTCATGAGTATTTTGTAAAGTTGGTGTGTGTTATTCCTGGACAAAACCTTATTTTGTGTTCAGCTACATCTGCTGAGTACAATACCCCCATTGTATGTCTTTGGAGACCTGTCCATTTCAGTATTTACAGTAGACTCTCATATGGTGCATATTGTGCCTTAACATGCCCCCATTTTTTCACCAATATATATCAGTTTGTGGTAAAAAAATAATTTTTGTCTTTTTTTTTTTTTTTACATTCGTATTACATTATTGCTGGGCATTTTGTATATTTAATATGTGCCACTATGATCAAAGCGCCAAAATTATGCTCAGCTAAATCTTCTGAGTAAAATGATACCCCCAATAAATGTCTTTGGCACTATTTCGTGAAGCTACATTGCCATATAGGAGACCTGTCCATTTCAGTATTTACAGTAGAATTTTGAGAGACAAATTTGATGGGTCTATGTTTCAATTTGGGGTATTATAGCAGTTTGACGGTTCAAAAAAACCCACAAAGGCCTACCATCCATTTGAAAAAGTAGACACTCCAGGGCATTTCCTATGGTGCATATTGGGCCTTAACCTACCCCCATTTTTCACCAGTATATGTCAAAGTATGTGGTAAAAAATAATTTGGGGCATTTTTTACATATGGATTAAATTTTTGCTGGGCATTTTGTATATTTGATATGTGCCAATAAGATCAAAGCCCCAAAATTATGCTCAGCTAAGTCTTCTGAGTAAAATGATACCACCAATGAATGTCTTTGGCACTATTTTGTAAAGTTACAGTGCCATATAGGAGACCTGTCCATTTCAGTATTTACAGTAGAATTTTGAGACGGATTTGATGGGTCTATGTTTTAATTTGTGGCATTATAGCAGTTTGACTGTTAAAAAAAAAACAACAACAACAAAGGCCTACTATTTCTTAAAGTAGACGCCCCAGGGTATTTCAAAAGGTATGTTTTAAACATTAGCGTAGGGTCATTTTTATGCAAGTTTGTACCAAGTCTAGAAGCAATTAGCATTTTTCTGCCTTTTTGACATACACTTGGAGATGTTACTGTATATTTTGCGATCCTTATGTGTGCTACGGCAGTATAACACCTAATATGTGGCTCAGGTATGTAATGTTAGTACAACAATTTTCCCATGTGTACCTTTTTCAGGGATATTTGGATGTTGAAGGGGCACATTTGAGGCACACCAATTTCATATCTTTCAAAAGTGGATGATGGGCCCAAGTCTCATTTTAGCAGCTAAGTATTGCAAATTACCTCTCAAAGGCCACATCTATTTTTAAATATAAGCAGCTCATCAATTCAAATTATGAACAAGTGCATACCATTTGCTGTGAAAGGGGGAATATTTGGCGTAAACTTATCAGGGGGTAGTACCCAGTCATCTGCGTCCCCGGCACAGCTGTCACGGATTCCAAAACCAGAACACAGAGAGAACACAAAGAGAGAAACACGTAATACCGGTCCTTAGCATGGCCGAGCTATACAAGCAGAGAATAGTCAAGGTACAATCAGAGGTCAAAGGAGTAAAGCGAAACAGAACAACAAAAGGACAAGCCGAGGTCAAGGATCAGAACAGACAGGATAAACGGGAGACAAAGCCAAGATTCGTTAACCAATCAGACATATGACTAAAATCACACCCCAAAACCAGTATACTTATTGGGCCTGGGTGTGTAAAATTTTAAAACAGTGGCCAATACATAGGCCGGGCTGAGAGGGGCAATCAGGGCAGTAATAACTGGTCTCAGCTCTTACGCCCCTCTTGTATCATACCCTGCACCTTTTCTGGGGGGTTTTCTTTTTGGGGATTGATGGAATCCTGAAGCATAAGTGACCTGCCTTCATTCTCCTGCTAGGCTCCACTGATGGCCCACCTCTCTGGCACTCAAGCAACCCAGAGATTAGCTGAAACTAAAATGATAGAAACGTGCATTTCAGCTCAGCATTTGCCTTTTTAAAAATTATAAAGGCATTGTGGATTGCCATCTGCATTATATATATATATATATATATATATATATACACACACCCACTTTTTTATGCCATGTCCTGGTCTTTCGCATGATCAAATACGGCTGCATCAGTTGATTGGACAGGTCAACTACCCCATATGCCGATTGTAATGCTTTAAGCAGACTGGCACCCGTTTAAATTCCTCTCTGCCACGTACTGCGACCCTGCGAGTGCTTTCACCATGGATGGTGGTCAGGATGAAAACCTCTTTTTTTTATCACGGTAGTTGAGTGCCAGCAGTTCATTCTGACAGAGAGCTGCTGTTTCCCCCCTTTTTATTTTTTTCCCGCTAGTGCCTTTGGGAAACGTGCAACTCTTCTGAATAGTGCCACAGGCCACGGTCTCGAAGCAGTACAGCATTTTTAAAAGTGGGATACTATTATAAAAATTATCAATATACAAGTGATATCCCTTGTTTAGTAATGGCGTTATTAAGTCCAAGACAATATTCCCACTTGTCCCTACTATATCTGGCCAACCTCGGGCATCAAGGTGGCTATCCCTTCATTCGTATACATGAAAGGTGAACACCTAGCCACTGCCACTTTCACACAATTTATAAAATCTGATCCCATATCGGGATCTTTTGGATGGGATATACTATTTAAACCCCAGTCTTCCCTCAAACTTCATTAGGGATTCATCAATAGAAATGTTTTTTTTTTAAGGTATAAAAAGTGGCAAATTTTTCAATAAAGTGAGCAATTAGAGGGCGTATTTTATATAGATCATTCTGCGGATTACCTTTTGGGGGGCACTTTGTATTGTCACTAAAGTGCATAAATCACAGTATGTCTTCATATCTGTCCCTACTCATTGTCTGGGGAAAAATGGAGGTATTGCAAATGGGTTTTTAGACCATTACATCCAGAGACGGCTCACTAATTAGTCGATTTAGGCGGCCGCCTAAGGCCTCGCGCTGTCAGGGGCTTCACGGCCGCCTAAATCACCATAGGGCAGATTGACATGTCCATGACCGGGACCAGACACAGGAGGGGGCTCAGTTGCCCTTTATGTCGCCGGGTGCGAGGCCCCTCCGCTCGGTCTGCCCTGGGGGAGAGCCAGCCTCAGTCTGCAGCTCCGCCGGGTGTGCGCTGAAGACTGAAGTGTCTCCTGATCTCCAGCCAATCAGTGTTGCAGCGGGTTACCACGGCAACACTCTGACTGGAGATTGCGAGAAATTCACCATGTGACTAAGTGGCTACTAACAGGGATGGACTGACAGCCTTTCTTGGCCCCCGGACAAAATTAGATCCAGGGCCCTTTGAAGACAAAATATTAAAGAAGCACTATAGTGCCAGGAAAACAAACTCGTTTTTATGGCACTATAGGGTCATTATGTCCCCCCCTCCCGCTGGGCTGAAGGGATTAAAACTCCTTCAGCCACTTACCTTTCTCCTGCGCCGGGCTCCCTCGGCTCTGGGGAATTCTCCTCCCTCTGCTGACCTCAGATTCGAACGCGCATTCGCAGCAAGAGCCACGCACGCATTCAAACCGCCCATAGGAAAGCATTACTAAATGCTTTCCTATGGACGTCCAGCTTTTCTTCTCACTGTGATTTTCACAGTAAGAATCGCGGAAGTGCCTCTAGCGGCTGTCAGTGAGACTGTCACTAGAAGCTGGATTAACCCTTAGTGAAACATAGCAGTTTCTCTGAAACTGCTATGTTTTCAGCTGAAGGGTTAAAACTAGAGGGACCTGGCACCCAGATCACTTCATTGAGCTGAAGTGGTCTGGGTGCCTATAGTGATCCTTTAAGGACTAAGTAAATGTTAAAAATAATTTTAAAGTAAGTAGTCAAACCGTTTGAGAACAGTTTGACAACTTACCTGGGGTCTGCTGGGACATGAGGCTGCAGTAGGGCATAGGAGCAGTGGTGTGTGAGTGGTGCAGTGTGTGTGAAAGGTTCAGTGTGTGGTGGGGCTTTGTATGTGTGTATGTGTGTGTGGGGCAATGTGTGTATGGGGGGGCAGTGTGTGAATGTGTATGGCATGGGGGCAGTGTGTGTGTGGAGCAATGTGTGTATGGGGAGGGCAGTGTGTGGGGGCAATGTATGTATGTGTATGGTGTGTGCGCTGGCCGTGTGTGTGTGTGTATATGTATGTTGTGGGGTGGGCAGTGTATGTAGTGTGTGTATGTGTGTGTGTGTGTGTGTATATGGGTGGGCAGTGTGTGTGTATATATGGGTGGGCAGTATATGTATATATATGGGTGGGCATATATGGGTGGGCAGTGTGTGTATATATATATATATGGGTGGGCAGTGTGTGTGTGTGTATATATGAGTGGGCAGTGTATGCAGTGTGTGTGTGTATATATATATATGGGTGGGCAGTGTGTGTATATCTATGGGTGGGCAGTGTATGCAGTGTGTGTATATATGGGTGGGCAGTGTGTGTGTATGTATGGTTGGGCAGTGTGTGTGTGTGTATATATGGTTGGGCAGTGTATGCAGTGTGTGTGTATGTATATATGGTTGGGCAGTGTATGCAGTGTGTGTGTATGTATGGTTGGGCAGTGTATGCAGTGTGTGTGTAGATATGGGTGGGCAGTGTGTGTGTATATATATGGGTGGGAAGTGTGTGTATATATAGATGGGCAGTGTATGCAGTGTGTGTATATATGGGTGGGCAGTGTGTGTGTGTGTGTGTGTGTATATATGGTTGGGCAGTGTGTGTGTATGTATGGTTGGGCAGTGTGTGTGTGTGTGTGTGTGTGTATATATGGTTGGGCAGTGTATGCAGTGTGTGTGTATGTATATATGGTTGGGCTGTGTATGCAGTGTGTGTGTATGTATGATTGGGCAGTGTATGCAGTGTGTGTGTAGATATGGGTGGGCAGTGTGTGTGTATATATGGGTGGGAAGTGTGTGTATATATAGATGGGCAGTGTATGCAGTGTGTGTTTGTGTATCTATGGGTGGGCAGTGTATGTAGTGTGTGTGTATATATTGGTGGGCAGTGTATGCAGTGTGTGTTTGTGTATCTATGGGTGGGCAGTGTATGTAGCGTGTGTGTGTATATATTGGTGGGCAGTGTCTGCAGTGTGTGTGTGTGTATTTATGGGTTGAGCAGTGTATGCAGTGTGTGTGTGTGTATATATATATATATATATATATATATATATATATATATATGTGTATATATGGGTGGGGGGCAGTGTGTGCGTGTGTGTGTGTATATGGGTGGGCAGTATATATATATATATGTGGGCAGTGTGTATATATATATATATATATATATATATATGGGTGGGGGGCAGTGTGTGTGTATATATGGGTGGGCAGTGTATGTATGTGTGTGTATATATATATATATATATATATATATATATATAGGTGAGCAGTGTATGTATATGGGAGGGGCAGTGTGTGTGTGTATGTATGGTTGGGCAGTGTGTGTGTGTGTATATATGGTTGGGCAGTGTGTGTGTGTGTATATATGGTTGGGCAGTGTATGCAGTGTGTGTGTATGTATGTTTGGGCAGTGTGTGTGTGTGTGTATATATGGTTGGGCAGTGTATGCAGTGTGTGTATGTATGGTTGGGCAGTGTGTGTGTAGATATGGGTGGGCAGTGTGTGTGCATATATGGGTGGGTAGTGTATGCAGTGTGTATATGTGTGGGCAGTGTATGCAGTGTGTGTTTGTGTATCTATGGGTGGGCAGTGTATGTAGTGTGTGTGTATATATTGGTGGGCAGTGTATGCAGTGTGTGTTTGTGTATCTATGGGTGGGCAGTGTATGTAGTGTGTGTGTATCTATGGGTGGGCAGTGTGTGTATTTATGGGTTGAGCAGTGTATGCAGTGTGTGTGTATATGGGTGGGCAGTATGTATATATATATATGTGGGCAGTGTGTGTGTATATATATATATATATATATATATATGGGGGGGCAGTGTATGTATGTGTGTATATATATATATATATATATAGGTGAGCAGTGTATGTATATGGGAGGGGCAGTGTGTGTGTGTGTGTATATATATATATATGTATGTGGGCAGTGTATATATGGTTGTGCATTGTATATTTATATATGGGTGGGCAGTGTATGTATATGGGTGGGGGGTAAGTGTGTATGTGTGTATATATAGGTGGGCAGTGTATATATGGGTGGATAGTTATATATATATATATATATGGGTGGGCAGTGTATATATATATATATATATATATATTATATATATGGGTGGATAGTGTGTATATATATATGGGTGGGCAGTGTATATGTATATGGGTGGGCAGTGTATATATATATATATATATATATATATATATATATGGGTGTATAGTGTATATATATATATATGGGTGGATAGTGTATATATGGGTGGGCAGTGTATATATATATATATATATATATATATATGGGTGGGCAGTGTGTATATATATATATATATATATATATATATATATATATATATATGGGTGGGTAGTGTATGTATATGGGTGGGCAGTATATATATATATGGGTGGATAGTGTATGTATATGGGTGGGCAGTATATATATATGGGTGGATAGTGTATGTATATGGGTGGAGGGAAGTGTGTATGTGTGTATATATGGGGGGCAGTGTGTGTATTGGCCTGCTTACCTGTACAATGTGATGGTTTTTGGTTTTCTCCCTCTATCTTCCTGCAGCAGCAGTGGGGCAGACAGGCTCCTCTTCTCACCCTCCATCCATGCTGTATGTGTGCTCCATGTGAGAGGGAAGCAGGGGGTGTGATGTCACTTCCTGCCCCGCGTCCCATCCTCACATAGAGCGCTGCAGGAAGAGAGAGGAGACCTGGCAGTGAGAGGTGTGCTGCCAGGTCTCACACTGAATGGGGGGGTGGGGGGGGTATTTGCAGATTTATGGGTTGCAGGGGCCCTTCGACTCATTATTGGCCCCTGCAACCTTCTTACAGCACTTTTTTTTTTTTGCATAACTTCTGCTGTGGAGATCTCTGATCTGATCTCTACAGCTGGAGCATGACTGTGCTGCCGGGCCCCCTGACTGCCTCGGGCCCTCGGTCCATGACCGATCTGCCCGACCTGTCTACTAAAAAAGACTGTACATACTTTTGCAAATGGTATGCCATCATGGGGGTAATTCTTATTCCTGGGCTACCATACAGTCCCAAAGGCAACATAACCACTCAGGCAGATTTTTATGTGGAAAAAAAGGAAATTCAAGCCTTATATTTGACTCAGTAACTTTTGAAAACACCATAAAACCTGTACATTGGGGGTACTATTATACTCAGGAGACTTTGCCGAACACAAATGTTAGTCTTTTAAAATAGTAAAATGTATCACAGTCAAAGTACATTTGTGTGAAAAATGCAAAAAAAATTAATTTTTACTGACGATATTGTTGTGATATGTTTTACTGTTTTTAAATGTTAATAATTGTGTACATGTACAGGTTTTATGGTGTCCTAGAAAGTTACAGGGTTAAATATAGGGCTTGCAAGCCAAATTCTCTGGCATTTCTGCCTGGGTTGTCGGGCAGGTATTAATATATATGTATATTAATATCAAAATACAGTTAGAACAAATTAAAACTGGTATATAATTTTTTTAAATTTATTTTTATTAAATTTTTTTCATTTGTTTCAATTTATTGATTATTTTTATTATATACCGTATTTATCGGCGTATAACACGCACTTTTTCTCCCTGAAAATAGGGGAGAAATTGTGGACGCGTGTTATACGCCGGTCCTTTAAATACTGCAGCCGTCTGAGCGCTCTGTCAAGAGTGCTCAGGCGGCTGCAGTTGGTTCTCACCTCCCCAGGAGTTTCTGTTTCCTGTACCCGGTCGGACTGACAGGAAGGTGCACACTGAGCGTGCACCTTCCTATCACTCCGGCCGGCCACCGCGGACGGCAGAGCAGCTCGGCCACGCTACAGGGGAGGGGGGTAAGAAGGGGGTAAGAAGAGGGGAGGGGGGTAAGAAGGGGAGGGGTAAGAAGGGGAGGGGGAGTAAGAGGGGGATAAGAAGAGAGGGAAGTAAGAAGAGGGGTAAGAAGGGAGGGAGGTGGTAAGAAGGGGGAGTAAGAAGGGGGGTAAGAGAGGGGGAGGGGGTAAGAAGGGGGATAAGAGTTCTTTATTTGAAATTTAAAAGGACCACTCTAGGCACCCAGACCACTTCAGCTTGAAGTGTGGTCTGGGTGCCAAGGTCCCTAGAGTTAACCACTTCTTTTTTTTTATAAACATAGCAGTTTCAAGAGAAACTTCCCTTTATGTTTATCTTTAATCAGCCTCAGAGCCTCTAGTGGCTGTCTCATTGACAGCCGGTAGAAACTGCGTCTTCTCACTGTGAAAATCACGGTGAGAGCGTACAGGAGGAGTCCCATAGGAAGCATTGTAAATGCTTTCCTATGCATTTGACTTCGAATACGCGTCATTCAGCCGATGACGTCGCGAGCAAGGAGGAGGAGTACAGCTCCCCGCCCGGCGCTGGAGAAAGGTAAGTGTTTAACCCCTTCCTCTCTCCAGAGCCCGGCGGGAGGGGGTCCCTGAGGGTGGGGGCACCCTCAGGGCACTATAGTGCCAGGAAAACGAGTATGTTTTCCTGGCACTATAGTGGTCCTTTAAGTTTTTTTTCCCTGAAATTTCCTTCTTAAAATGAGGTGCGTGTTATACGCCGGTGCGTGTTATACGCCGATAAATACGGTGTATATATATATATATATACACACAAAAATTAACGTCATTCTAAGTGTTTTTTAATATCAATATATATAATTATATATTTTAATATTAAATACACTTTTATTAATGATGAATGTATGTGTATATAAAAGTACTTAGATTATATATACATGATATATATACCCCAGGATCGCGACCCGGTAAGTACAAAGGACGTTGGGGATGTTTTATGCCGCCTGCCGGTGTTTAGGACCGCATAAAAGAGAAAGGCATAGAACGCCTGCCATCCTTAGGGGGTTAAAACAGCAGTTACAAAAAAAATAAAAAATAATTTGACTCATAAGCCATCCTGGGGTATATATATACCCCAGGATCGCGCCTGCCGTCGGGGGAACAGCGGGGACCCGGTAAGTACAAAGGACGTTGGGGATGTTCTATGCCGCCTGCCGGCATTTAGCTCCGCATAAAAAAGAAAGGCATAGAACGTCCGCCATCCTTAAGGGGTTAAAACAGCAGTTACAAAAAATATATATATTTTGACTCATAAGCCAGAAAAAAAATCTATCCTATTTACAGGCACATTGAGGGATTACATGGTTATGTCTCCCCTACAGGAAAATGGGGCGGTCTATTCACCAGACATCCCTTGGTCAATAGTGAGGTCTAGGGTCCCTCTTTTTATTTTATTGTTATACAACAGAGGTGCTCAAAAGGTAGATCCCAATATGTTTTAAAACTACAGCTTGCCTGATGTATTGTCATTCTAAAGGCATGCAAAGAATCATCGAGGCATCTACCTTTTAGGCACCCCTGTTATACAACATCTGTAAGAGACAGTCTGCTCTCTTGTTACATGCTGAAGTCTCGCAGGCACCACACCTGTTTATTTTTTTAATACGTTTTATTTCCCTTTCACCACCACAGAAGAGAGAAGTGTATTGCACTTTCAGTCAATTGTCATACAGCATGCTTTCTTTCAGAAAAATTACAATATCTCTTGACAGACAATGGCAATTATTTGGAGTAACAGTGGCTCCTACTCTGTCTGGTGATTCAATTAATGGTGAACATGGAGTAGTATTTGTTGCAAAAACAGTATGGCACTGCAAAAAATACTTGTACTTTAAATAATTGTAATTTTTTTTCAGGGTATGGATGTGCAGACTGATCCAGTGTATGATACCAGTGGGTATGGACCTCAAACTCCCAACATCTCATTTTCTGGATATGGGATTTGTCATTTCCCAGATGGAATAGTAACTAGCGTAAGCCACTCTCAGAATTATGATCGTCCTTACATGGATACAGTAACAATGGAACAGCAACATTTGCCATCTTTGCCTCTGGACCCAACATTTGGTCCTACCGCTTATACCGGCATGCTAATCTCCTCAAGCCTTACTCAAGTAGATGCAAATGCACATTACCCGCCAAAGAATGTACCTGTGGGTGGGCTGTTCAATACACCAGCAATGGGCATGGCAATGACATATGTTCAGCGTTTGAATCAGGTTTGTAAGGGCCAAGATGACATTGAATCAGATTCAGGATTGTCACTAAACTTCAGTGATGGGGAATCCACAGAATTAGACCACATGGAACCACAAAGACTACAGTCAGAATATTTGGATATGATTCCTCCGTTGGCCTATCAAGACCAGTATGGATTAATGCCAACAGTCTCACAGCCTTTTATAAATCACATCTCAGAAATGTGCTCATATGATACATCTCAAACTCAAGAACTGGTATGCAGTCGAGATGAAAGAAGAGCAGCAGCTATGAATATTCCATTTCCCACCGAAAGGATTGTTAATTTGCCTGTAGAGGACTTCAATGAACTTCTTTCTCGTTTCACTTTGACAGAACCACAGTTGGCACTAGTTAAAGACATACGCAGACGGGGGAAAAATAAAGTCGCTGCTCAAAACTGTCGTAAGCGAAAGATGGAAACCATAGCCATTCTGGAGAAAGAGATATGGCAGCTGAGGACAGAACGTGAAGGACTGCGACGGGAACAAGAGGAGGTAGGAAGGATAATGGGTGATCTGAAAAAGAATCTGGAGCTTCTTGAGCAACAGGTGGTTAGTGTTTTACAAGATCAGGAAGACCATCCTTGTCCAGTTGACGACTTCTTACTCAAGCAGGCGTATGAGAGTAATCTATTCCCTGCTCCTTTATCAAAGGAGACCAGAGCCTAATAGACTCTTTCACTGGTCAGTTGTTGCTACAGCAGTGAGACCAGCTGGCTTGGAAAACAAAAGCCAAGTAGCAACAAGACATTACACAGCATGTTATTTATTGAAGCAATAGTATCAGCAAAAAATGGCTGCAATAACAACATATTACATATGCAAAGTGGATGCCAAATCTATCTACTGCACGGACAGTAACTTATCAAATGCTGCAAAAAAAAAACTGTGTATGCTACAAAACATGATATTGAATCGCCATATAGTGAACAAAATTAATCTATATATTGTGCATGCTAAATTGCTAGCAGATTTATAAAACACTTTACTTTTGGATTCTACGTTATTGGCATAGATTTAAAAACTTCAAAAAACAAGGAAAGTGGGCAACAAGGTCTGCAAATGTGGGTACATGAACCTTTCCCTAAATGCTTTTGTCTTCAAAACACTGATTTAAGTGGGATTATATGTTATATACAATTTCACAGACTGAATGTGTCTCCTTGCTATAAAGACCTCATGTTTATAATCTGCAACCATTGCCAATTTTATTTTTCACCAATTGATTTATTGTATCCAATCAATTGGAAAGTCTGTTTGACATGCAACCTCTATGCAAGCATTTCAATTTACGACAATGTACTAAATGTCAAACTTGTCCCAGTGTGTTGTATGCATTAATCATTGAGAAAAGATCTTTTGCGTCCCTCTAGTTTCTTCTTGTATATATGAGAGAGACAGATGCTACACCTATATATACAAATATCTACATCTAGGAATAATAAAAAGTGGTGGGATATGTTGTAGTCTACCTTTGGAAGGCAGGGCCAGACTGACCCACTGGGTTGTGGGGAATAATAATTTATTTAAATAATTTTGCCCCTTGGACTGTGACAGTCTGAGGGAATTAAAGAGGGAAGTGGTGGGGGCTGGTGCTGCCATATTAGGGCTGTCGGAGGAAGCATTATAAAACTCCCTCCAGCAGCTTTTTTTTGCCTCTTCTGTTCCACCCCCACACTCTAGTTCCACAGCTGATCTTGCCGGCAAAAGGCTGGAAAAGCTGCCTTCTGGTGCTCCAACTGCATTTAATGCCAGGTAGGCTTCAAATACTCAGCAGCCCATGATTGAGACTGATCTTGTGTTTGTATGTATGTGTCAGTGATCTTGTCTGTAGTACGTTTGTGTTAGTGAGCTTGTCTGTAGAGAGAATGTGTGTGTGTCAGTGAGCTTATTTGAGGTGAGCTTGCCTGTGACTGTGAGCTTGCCTGTAGTGAGCATGTGTGTCAATAAACTTGTCTGTAGTAAGCATGTGTATGAGTGTCAGTGAGCTTGTTTGTGTCATTTTTTATATATATATATATATATATATATATATATACACACACACACACACACGATCGACCGATTATCGGTTTTACCGATATCGGACGATATTCTGTATTTTTGGCAATATCGGTATCGGCCAATATAGATGCCGATATTGCCGATAATACCTCCCAAGACCGCCGGGCTCATTACATGGAGGGCCCGTAGCAAGCTGTTACTTACCTTTCCAGCAGCTCTCTTCTGCTCCCTGTGTAAATCTCTTGGTCTGCATGCAGTGCGGGACTCGTGAGATTTAGACAGGGAGCGGAAGAGAGCACACTACACACAAACACACACTCTGCACTTACTATATACACACACACTACACAAACACCCTGCATTCACTACATTATACATACACACTACACAAACACACCCTGCATTCATTATATACACACTACACAAATACACACTGCATCCACCAGACAAACACACACAGCTCACCTGTCTAAACACACTGCATCCACTACATGTGGCATGTATATTTTGTGCATTTACCTTAAGAAATAGTTTATTTTTTCAAAATGGTAAATGTACAGAATATCGGCAAGTTATCGGCTAACTGCCTGAAAGTTCACAGATTATCGGTATTGGCTCAAAAAAAATCAATATCGCTCGATCCCTAACACATACATATGTATACCTGAGGTACATCACTAAGTTTAGAGCTCCAGAGGTTTTGTTGCCTAAGAGGTGCACAAATGTCTACTGTCTAGATCAGGGGTGCCCAAACTTTTTTCAAAGAGGGCCAGATTTGATTAAGTGAACATGCGTGAGGGCCAACCATTTTGCCTGACATTCTTCGAACCATTAAAAGTTAATGCAAAGGAACTATTTTATGCAAAGTTTATTGCAAGCGGCATACTTTTCATTTCATCTCTTTGTTCTGTCCCTTCTCTCTCTTATTCTGTCTCTCTTTATTATGTCCATTCATTCTGTCCCTTCTCGCTTTTATTGTCCCTTTTCTCTTTTATGCTGTCCCTTCTCGCTTTTATTCTGCCCCTTCATTCTCTGCCTCCAGGGAGAAGGAACCAAATCCTCCGACGTCCAAGAGACCGCAAGAACTCAGACTGAAGACAAGCAGTGATTGCACGTCCGTCTGCGTTCTCGCAATCTCTTGGCCCCCAGTGAATCCCCGCGTGCCGCTCAGGATTGCGGCATTCAAGGATCCTGAGTAGCGCTCGGTAATTCATTGTGGGCCACAACAGGTAGGATTAGCCAAATAACCTGTGAGGCTGTATTAAACCGGAACGTGGGCCGGACTTTGGACATGACTGGTCTAGAGCCTATATCTTGAAAAGGCTCTATACCATGTGGGTTCCTCATATAAGTGTTATATGTAGATCATCCAACAAGACAATATTACCCTACTGAATTTTCTCTTTTTATACATGGTACACCCCTACAAATTTGTTTAAAGTGGTGTCTGTATCTATCACTTTTGTATCGCTGCTTACTCCTACTGTTGGGAGGTGGGTTATATTATCTCAACGTGGGGATAATCTTTATTTTCCATAACAACCTTATTGATATCAAGTTGTTATAGTTTTCCTTTAAATCCTAAATGGCAGACAATTTAACAGTGAGGCTCCAGAAGCATGGGCTTTACACCATAACAACTTAAAGGACAACTGTAACTTCCTAGTTTTTTTTTTTTTAAATTATGTTTACTTATCACTATAAATAGTATATTTTATCAACATCTAACATCTTAAAGATATTTAACAGGGTGTTCATATGTGAATTGCACGCATAACTACTACACTAAATTGCCATGGAAACAAAATATTTTGTCACTGTAATCAATGTGAATTAAGAGGAGTAAAAATAATAGCTACATGCATAAAGAGAAATAAAAAAATAACTATTGTAAAGTAATAGATCTAGCGATATAACTATTTCACGCTTTAGTGATACCAGCCAAATTATCCCCAATTCCGTAATGAACATAAATATTACATAAGGTTAAGGTGTATCAGTCCTTTAATATACTCCGCCAAAATACTGATAGTCCTATTAGCCTAAATTGTTCAACTTAGTTACCAGTTTTCGAAAGATTTACTCCTAAGTGCACTAAATTATTCTAGCACGCCAGTTAACTTTGTAAGGGGTTTCACTATAGTTTGGAGTTCCTTATTACACATTGGGCACTGGTTTGGGATTTTTTTTTCCTTTCTATTATCTTCATTGATAAAGCTGCAGGTGGCCACAAGATATATATGTGAACAGCCACACACACACACACACATCTTCAGTTATATTTATCAGTGAATAAACATTGAGCGCATCTGTCCCTACTTAACGCCAGATGCGACTAAGGTGTTGGTCCATTCCACTGTCCTTTCTCGCCTTGACTACTGTAATCTGCTTCTCAGTGGTCTTACGTGCTCCTTACAGTCCATAATGAATGCGAGGCTCATCTCCCTGTCTACCCGCACCTCCCATGCCTCACCCATCTGTCGTTCCTACATTGGCTTCCTATAAAATATAGAGTTCAATTTAAAATTCTGGTTCTTGCTTTCAAATATCTACATAATGCTGCTCCCACCTATCTATCCTCCCTTATACACAAGTATGTCCAGTCTAGGCCCTTACGATCTCATGTCCGCACTCCCACCTCTGATGCCCCCTTCAAGATTTCTCGAGGGCTGCGCCGTTCCTGTGGAACTCACTTCCCTCCTTCGTTAGATGCTCACCCAGTCTCCACTCCTTCAAAAAAATCGTTAAAAACCCACTTCTTCATAAAAGCATATCAATTAAACTCTTATTGGCTCCCGACTGATTCCTCTTCTGCAAGTCTAATACTATCCTTACCTTTTTGTGTAATTTTACCCCACTCCCTCTAGCATATAAGCTCAACCCCTCTGTTCCTGTGTCTCCAACTTGTCTGGTTACAACTACGTCCGCCCACCCATTGTAAAGCGCTGTGGAATTTGATGGCGTTATATAAATATCATAATATATACGCTCAGATTGAACACTCAGGGCCCCTTCCGTGATGGAAGCAGCTGCTTACATATTTTGAGAATTCTCCCCCTAAAGACACACTTTAGTTTTAGGAACTCAAATTTTCATTCTTAATGCTACAGTGTACCTCTCCCTAGAACTAAACAGATTCTTCCCCTGGAAAAAGATAAATAAATTTAAGTTTTACGTTCCTTACTCCAGTACTAAGGCCGCCAAGACACCAGTTTCTTCAGTCGGGATTGGTTACGCTCCTGTTTGTAAACAACCCTTTGCTTACTTGTGCCACCACAGCAGTCCCATGCCGGTACGCTGCGACCAGTCTGCTGTGTCATTTAAAGTTTATAGCCAGATACGTCTCATATGTCCAAAATGATTAAGCAATTGCTTGCAAGCATAGTGTATTTTCTTATACATAGCTAACATACTTTCACATTAATTGTGTAATTTAAAGAGCTACTTAAAATTCATGGCCTGTAGGGAATATATATAAAATTAAAAAAGCCAGACATGTCTTCTCAAATGTATTTATTAAAGAATAGAAGATTACACTTTATTCTCAACTGAAAAAAAAGATTAACCACCCTAGAAAGATCAAAAGAGTAATCCTATAACAAATAATGGCAGTTTTGTTACAGTATAAGGTCATATATTGCATAAGCCTGCCACAATGCCACTGTACCCCATTTTTGGCAGGTTCTATCCTAGCAACCTAATGACTGCTCTTATGAGATCAACCTACTTACTTGGGAAATCATTCCATTTGGGGAGCTGGACGCAAGTCTCTTTTCAGCTATGTAATTTACACATCAAATCAGGAATGCTGCAGTTTTATTTTATAGGATTGGACCTGCAAAAAATTAGGTATGTTGGCATCGTAGCAGACTTATGCAATTTATCATATTTTTTGTCAGGTATTAAAAAAAATAATAAAACATTCTGTAAGCTTGAAAGTTGCTTAGTGAATGAGTGTGCTGGTTGTTTGTTTTATGAATTGGTACCAGCAGCACACTTAAAATGTATGCATGCTCAGGTAAGTGCAGCCAACTTGGTTTCATGTGTGCGTGTGTAATGTATGCATTTACATATACACACACAAAACCATCTGCCTAATCTTTTAAGTCCTACAAGTTGCGAGGTTGGACCACCATACATCTGATTTGTTGTTTCAGCACATCCCACAAAGGCTCAATCAGTTTGAGATCTGGGGAGTTCAGAGGCAAAGGCAACACCTTTAACTCTCATATTACTCAAGCCATTCCCTCATATTTTTTGCAATATGCATTATCTTGCTGAAATACAGCACTGCCATGTATATGTAGTCTACAACAATCTCTAGGTATGTGGTACGTGTCAAAGTAACAACCACATAAATGCAAAGAAACAATATTTCCCAGCATAATAGTGCCTCTGCTTGGCCTGTCTTCTTTCCATAGTGCCATCTCTTATCTAGCTAAACGACACACAGCTATCTACCAGAACAGGCACCCTTTCATTCTCTATGATTTAATTCTGACACTCATGTCTCAGAACCTATCTAGGAGTGAAGGGGTGGACATCAAACCAGAAAAGGGGCATGTCCACATGGTGTGCATACTGTACACACCAAGTTTCCTGTCCACCACTCAAGCTAGACTTTTGAAGGCAAAATATGCACCCTGAACGATACATTCATGCTATGATTGTTGGGGATAGTTTCCTGGTGTCCACATAAGACAGGACAAGACCCAGATGCCAGTTCCCCACTTTTGGTAGGTGCAAACGCATTGCATAGGAAAGCCTTGAATCAATACAGAGAGTGAAGACGTATAGCGTCAGTTAACAAACCAAAATGTCTGTTAAGATTCACGAAGCACGACTTAATGCAGCAATATGAAATATTGCAGTTCCAAAGGAACTGTAATGTTTGCATTGCAACACTCCGTGCAATAGACACACTGCACACAGACCACTTCAATGAGGTGAAGTAGTCTGGGTGCCTATAGTGTCCCTTTACGCAGAACACTAAGAAAGCATGAATTAAATGCTTCCCTATGGGTTAAGTCTAAAGTGTCCCCCCCCACCAGGCTGATGCCAGCACTGGAATCAAGTAACCGTCTGTGCCCCCATCCATGAACGGGTTTAACAAAAACAGAGGGACACTTTAGGATTAGGAATACACCTAAAGTGTACCTTTAAGCCTGGATATTTTTCAAGCTTTTTTTTTTTTATCTGATCACAAGATATTAATGAATGCCTTCATTTTAAAATAAAGTTTAAAGTTCCTTTAAAAAAAATTCCCAAGTCATTCAAGATCAACGCCTTCTGTTTTGTTTGTAGGTCCATACATCTTGCTTGAAGAGCCTCATTATCCTAACGGACGATTCCTGTTAAGACAACTTACCTTCACAGTTATTGACACAAAAGTATGCAAATAAGTTTTAACACGAAACTTGCGTTCAGATGACTGGAGCTTTAGTGGACAGCATTCCAAAATCTGGAGGGGGAATATAAAAAAAAATAAAAAAAAAAAAAAATTGTGGTAGTTTTTATTCCCCCTGCATCACTTACAATAAAACCCTAAATATGCAACATTTACCTCACTACTTTTATCCAGGTAGGCAGAAGTCTGAAGAGTGTGAAACTACATCTAAGCTATGCAACAGCTGCACAACCTCCTGTAATAAAAAAAAAAGTACAAAAAGTTTAGAGCAATGCAAGAAGGAAGAGTTCAGTTAAAATTTCATAAAACAGACAATATCTTCTAGCTTATTTTAGGTCTGTCTGCTGCAAACTTTAAAAATCTAAAACTACACACTGCATAGAATCTTGACTTTTTCTTACATCATGGTGCCTTGTAAGCTTCCATAATTGACTTTGTTTAAACTATGAAACTAGACCAGTTAGCCTGGCAATTTCTGTACAGATTGCACAAGTAGATTAAGTTATCTGATCAGTCTCAAAAGGAACACCCCTAACCACCAGAGCCAACTTCAGTTATGGTCCCATGAGTGCCCTCCCACTGCAAGTAGTCTAAAATTTCCAAAAACTTACCTGGCACTCAGCACCTGCTTCCAGTATCCTCCAGCAAGAGAATCTGGCTTAGATCTGTACCACTAACCAAGGCCATATAGAACTACACTCAATGGCTGAGCCCACCATCTGAGTGAGCTCAGCCTATAAGCAGTCCTGTATGAACAGAGTCTCTCTACAGAAACCCCAAATTCTCCTGCAGGGGGAAAAGGTAGCCAAGTATACCAAAAATCTGTTTTTACAGTGGACGATGCAGGGGCACACCTGCCACTATAAAGGGCTGTAGTGGTTATGGTGCCTTGAGTTCCTTTGAAGTGAAAAGTAATTAAAAAAAATCTGCTTCACCTTATTTACAGAATACCAAATCCTTGGTACCAGAGCTACCAAGTACTACATTTATATTGGTTTTCATCCAGTAAGAAGACCTGGCTGCTGCCTATCCATCATTATACGCACAAAATGAAACTCCAAGCACAAAATGTTAAATTAAGCACAAAAATCACAATAAAATCTGTTCTTACCTACTATCAAGGTTACAAAACTGTCACTTCTGGCTCGAACTGCCTGCTAGGCTTAAATTGAAGACTCTTTACTTGTCTGACTCCTTCCGCTGGTTCTGCCGAATGCCATTTATCTTGCTAGCCGTAAAGTGCATATACCTTTTTACTTGATTCTTGGCTACTGTTAGGTGAGCATTGCCTGGTCTGAGCTGTGAAAGAAGTCTAATATCCACTTTATCGTTTAGCTAGACTTGACTTTGCTCCTAACTGTCTTCATCCTCAGAAGGACCATACTAAGTGTGTGAGGGAAGGGAGAATAGAGAAATAAATCCCTGGACCCAAACAAAAAGGCCCATTTTATCAGGAATTTCAGGCAGCATTTGCCTTTACAGCTTCTGGCCTAGTCACCATGTCTTGTAGGCAAATATTTTAGCCCTCTCCCACCTCTTGCAGTATTATGCATCTCAAGACACTGCCTTCAGTCTCACCTCCATTTGAATGCTTATTTCTGTACCTGAACACGTGCCACAGCATTACAAGGTCACCCTGTTAATGTCCTGCAAAGTTTCAGAGATCAGGAAGCAGAACAAAAACTACTTCTGGGATTTGTGGTTGGCCAGAGATGCCAACAATGCAAGAAATTTTTAGAGGGCACTACATTGCAAACATTTAACATTGCAACTTCAGACAATGCTGCACTCAAGACAGTGGCTTTGTGCAAGCAGGTCTAGTTAATGCAATATTGGGTGTCAGAAAGGTATTCATCTACAATAAGTAAATACCCTCAGCTTCCAGTCATGCTGCCATTTGTTCCAAGCCACTATTACAATACCTAGGGTTTGTTATTACAGCTAAATCTAAAATTAGCTCTCAAAAAAAAAAAAAAAAAAAGAAATGAAGACTACACTGCCCACATGGGCAAAGACTTAGAAATCACTATTGATTATATACCCCAATGATTACATGCATGTACCCAGGTGGGAGAAAAATATATATAAAATTTTCCATTCCTTTCCCCACAGAGTACATGTACTTACAGCATCCCGGTTTGAGGTATGCATGGGGACAGTTGGGGAAAGCAGGTAGGATAAAATAGATTGAGTGCTGCCTTTATTAGCTCAGGGGAAGCTCTCCTGGCTGCATGTTTAACTTCTAAAACTAAGAATTTTTAACAGAAAATCTGCACTTTAAGAAATCATGTGATAGTCTTCACTCAGGGCACTTCAGCAAGCTCAAGTATATTGTGTGGAGAGGTCCTTTAAAATACCTGGAGCCAGCACAACTTTTCACTAAACTGAGGATTTAGAGTGAATTTTAAGATTTACACCAAAATAGGCAAGTGGTCAAGCAGGTTTTGAAAAGTGGAGTCTTCCACAACCTGCTCCCCAAACAATGTCTGATGCAAGTATGTCTATGGCTGAAGGACCTGGTCATACACAAAAGGCTAGGGAATAAGGATTTTCATATTTATAGGAATTGAGTGTTTAAAATTTCATGTTGAATTCTCACTTTAGTGAATAGCCCAGTTAATGTCTGACAAGCTTCACTTGACCAGTTCCAAGATGGCAAAGTCTCAAATAGATAAGAGGAAGTGACTTTCCATGTGTGCCTACCACTTAAGTACATTTTCAATAAATGGCCATTTTGCCAAGATAAATATACTATTTGATGCCCACACTAAGGATTGATAACCAGGTGTATAAAAAACATTTATTAAATGTCATGATCCAGTTTGTACAGTCCTTTACCAACACAACTGCAGGAAAATAAAAATCCTATATATTAAAAAAAACAAAAACTCAGTCCTTAGGAATGTTTTACACTTCAACATAAGCTTAGTCTTCATACAATTAGTCACGCATAGTCCTGTGTGTTTTCCTCACACGTTAAAAAGATTCACTAACATTTCTTCATGCAGCAGCTATGCCCTGCTACAACTGTGCTTGGCTGAATTCAACTTTTGTAGTAACCTGTCGCTTGCCTGGCTCTCCTCTCCTGCTAAGCATTGCTTCCTGTTGAATAATACGGAATAAGTGTTAATCTACAAAATACGAACATAACTGAAGTTTAAGTGGCAGTTGCCTGCTCTGTATAAGCCTTTACTGGAACAGGTTGAGAATTAAAATATAAACATCATACCTGTTAAGTTAAAATCTCCTCCCACTTCCATAACCGTTGCCGCTGCCACTACCACTGGACCCACCACCATAGCCACCTAGCGTAAAGACAGATTTAATAAACACACTTGAGTGGCATAAGGTCACAAAGGAGTATTTGCTAAAATACCAAACACTGGTATGCTGCATCAGATAACCCATGCATATTTAACCTGCACTAGAGACAATTTCACCCACATTTAATATTGAAAATTCTCACCTCCTCCATAAGGTCCAGAGCTTCGGCCTCCATAATTGCCCGATTTTACTGGGCCAAAGTTTGATGATTGACTGTTGTAGTTGCCAAAATCATTATATCCTCCAGCACCACCACCACCTCCACCGCCGCCACTGCCAAAGTTGCCTAAAATAAAAATAAGTGTCAATACATGCACAGGAGAGAAAAATTGCCTCCTTTAAACCAATTGAGAAGTACTTACCATTTCCGCCTCCATAGCCACTGCCACCTCCGTTATTGTAGCCATCATATCCACCTCCATTGCCACCATAGTTGCCTCCTTGTCCACCTCCATATCCCTGACCACCTCCATAGCCACGTCCACCTCCACCTCCAGAATAAGGTGGACTGCCACCATATCCACCTTCATTAAAGCCATTATAATTATCGCCTCCGTAGCCACGTCCACCATATCCCCCTGTTTAAGGGTACAAAATGATTATTGATCTAAAATAGTTTCTACAGACAAACTGCAGGCAAATAATTTACAGATTGCCTGTTATCCTCCATAAAGTGATGAGAGCCTGTATTTCAGCATGCAGTACAGTTACTCAAGAGTTGCATTACATTTTCTAAATATCAAAAAGCTGCGTGCTGCACCTGTAGAATTATTAAAGTTTCTTCAGTAAATAATGCTAAGTAAACACTTAGTGGGACAGTGATTCTTTTAAAAGAGTGCAAGATAGATAGTTGCTTACCAAAAAGCATGGTTTCTCAAAAACTCAGTGCAGCAGTACATGGGGAGGGAGACATCCTAAAAGGTCTTTGGCAAGAGAAAAAAAAAAAAAAAAAACACAACTTACCACCTCTATTGCCACTGAAGTTGCCGCCACCACGTCCTCCTCCGCCAAAGTTTTCACTGCCTCCAAATCCACCTCTTCCACCAAAATTTCCAGAACCACCACGCCCTAGATAGAATATATTTATAGTATGGTACTTGGAAAACAAAAGCAAGTTTTGCAAGTCACTTCTAGAGGAAACTACAAGACTTACCTCTTTGGTTGGCTGAAGCAGTTGCCATTTCTTGTTTGGATAGAGCTTTCCTCACCTCACAGTTGTGGTCATTGATCGTATGGTATTTCTGTACTGTAACAAGAAAAGTCAAATAAGTACAATACCTTTTACATTAGAGACCAAACCGATTCATAGTGTTATGAAATGCAACTGCCAACTTACTGACTATTTTGTCCACTGAATCATGATCATCAAATGTAATAAAAGCAAAGCCCCTTTTCTTGCCGCTGCCTCTATCAGTCATTATCTCAATAACTTCAATCTTTCCATACTGCTCAAAATAATCTCTTAAATGATGTTCTTCAGTGTCTTCCTTTATACCTCCCACAAAGATCTTTTTAACAGTGAGGTGAGCACCTGGCTTTGTTGAGTCCTGAAGAGTAACAAGCAACAAGTTACACATTGTATATTGAGATCTTGCTATCAAAGAAAAGATGTATAAATAACTGCTACCTTATAGAGATAAAAAAAATAACGTACCTCTCTTGAAACTGCTCTTTTTGGTTCAACTACACGCCCATCCACCCTGTGTGGCCTGGCATTCATTGAAGCATCAACCTCTTCTGCTGAAGAGTAGGTAACAAAGCCAAATCCACGAGAACGCTTTGAATTTGGGTCTCTCATCACCTGTTTAAACAGTAATTATTTTATTTGTCAGTGTGCTTATCCATCCAAGCAACCCAGCAAAATATTTGATCAGGTTATTTGCCTTACGTGTGCAGTTAAACAAGAGCATGCCACAGACCAAGCAACAAATTACCAACTTAAATTATTGAGACCACAACTAACCAGTAGGATTAAAATGTGATTAATTTGTCAAAAGTATTCTTACCACACAGTCTGTGAGTGTTCCCCATTGTTCAAAGTGTGACCTCAGGCTATCATCTGTAGTCTCAAAGCTGAGTCCTCCAATAAAGAGCTTACGCAGCTGTTCAGGTTCCTTTAAAAAAAAAATAATAATAATTTTATAAGACTTAACACAAGGTAACTGGAATTTCAGTTGCTGCCATGGATGTAAACTATTTACTGGCGATTGATAACAGTGATGGCTCTGCCAACTCTTCACTGCTTAAATCATTATTCTGCATTAACTTTAACACAGGAAGTAAAAGTAAAAAAGAAAATTGCAGATCACCTTTCCAGGTGCAGATATGCCCTTCAACAAAGAAACATAAGTACAAGATAGAACTATATCTAGCACCAGCAGTCCTACACGAAAGACTGCAATGCTTGGTAGTTATGTCCCTGTTTAAATGGATACGGTTAACAATTTGCAACTCACACATGTCCATTCCATACTGGTGGCCAGAATGTCAAGTGAAAACTTAATTCGCAACTGGGATCAGGTAGAGTTCATTTTATACATTTCTCACATTGTTGGGCCACTTTCTGGAGTTCTCGGTCACTATTTGCATTAGGGACTGGTTTTAAATGCTTAATCTACACAACATGACTATTTCACTGATTTAAAGTGAACATGGTGCCTGGGGCTGTATGTGCAACATTTTGCCTAAAAAAAAGTTTTACAGTCCATTTCTACTAGAAATAACTGCTCCTGCCGAGTCATTAGCCAGCCTGAGACAAGAGTAAAGTATGGATAATGTGAATTCTATATAAAATAGTCACATGATGTGAGCACCCCTTTTCTCATTTTCAATATAAAGTTAAATATTGCCTTCTGTAAACCCAGTACACCGAGCCCCTGATATGAGTCGGGTTTGGGGTGGAGACGGTGTACCCAGTTTAGTAAGCGGGGTTAATGTAGATGGGCTGTGTCCCGCCATCCAGTAACAGCATGCTCGGGCAGACAATGCGGGCGCCATTAGCTCGCTGCAGCGAGGGCAGTGCGGGCGGGGCCAGCGGGGGAGGAGGGGCTCACAAAATGGCGGACACAAAGAAAGGCTCCGAGGCCTAGCCCTACTGACACGGCAAGCGCAGCAATCCGAGACCGGCCGATATACAGCGAGTATCCCCCACCGATATTAACACCCGGCTCGGAGACACCGAATTGGGAGGATTACATTTACCGGCTCTGGGTAATAACTGGGCCTGTTCTGACGGAGTCACTAACCGCCAGACACATTATTATAATTATTAATATTATTATTAGAGAATACTAAGCTTAGACAGGAGACATTCTACGATTTATAAAGTAATAATAAAATAAATCAATCTAAGCCCCGAGCGGTCCGTCTATTGAGCGCACGGTGTGACCCGGCCTCGTGTCGGAGCGCAGAGCCGGTAATTATTGATAAATACGGACACAGCCTACGCACATTACCAGCAATCCCATCAATATTGGCTAATGTGAACACTGCGGCTGGGAGCAGGGCCCCGGCGGGCCGGGGTGGACAAGGCCTTACCTCTGATTTGTGCATGGTGACGGTAGCGGTGATGGCAGCGAGGTGACTCCCTCAGAGATCGAGCTAGAAGGAAATGGAGAGCGCTGAGATCGTTCTATACAAGCACGGCCAGCCTATGTATAGCCCCTTAGCCCCACCCCCCTTATCCCATTGGCTGTCATTTAACATTCAGCGGCACCGATTGGCTGGAGCGGCTTTAAAAATAACACGCGCTCGCTGATTGGTCGAAGCGACCGCCATTGTAATGAGGAAGTCCCGCCCCACGCTCCCGCCGCCATTTTCTTTTTCGCCACACGCTCGGGCTTCGCTCATTGGGCCGTACGTTGTGCCAATCACGAGTTTTTGAACGCGAAGCCCCGCCCTCTTTCTGCGGCGTGTTTCACGGACACCGGACGGCTCTTCGCGGTAGTACGGCGTTACAGACAGCCGTGGTGACCCTGCTGACCGCTGGTAATACCGCCTGCCTGCCCGCCGGCACAGCGAGGTACCGGGGGGGCCATCGCGCGGGGCGGGTGCTGAGGCGCAGGGTGGAGCTGCGCATGCGCGGCCCGGGGTTGTTTTTTTGGCGGGGGTTTGGTTGTGTCGCACTGGGGCTGTGAGGTGACGGCTCGCTCACACTAGGCTTGTCCCCCGTGCCTGCGGCTGGAAGGTGAGTGACTAGTCGGCCGTGCGCTCCGCCATCGCCGGGGGAGGAGGGGGGTGCGCACACCGGGGCTCACTGGGAGGAGTCAGAGCGGGGACGTAGTGTGTGAGTGACAGCAGCAAGCAGCCAATCGGAATGCGAGGTCAGCGCGAGCGTCCAATCAGAGGCTGGGTGAGGGGCGGGACTCAGCGCGGCTGCCGGTGCCAGGGATCAGGCGTGCAGGAGCTGCCGGTCGGAGAGAGCGCCGTGTCCAGGTAGCCGAGCATGGCGGGGGCCGCGGGCTGGGAGGAGGGGGACCTGGCTGCACACCGTGTCTGTGTGTCCGACTGCAGCCATACACCGACACCATAACCAGGCTGGCTGTCTCCACCGTGCTGGGGGGGATTCGGGGGACACGGGGGGGCACTGTCACCGTGCTGGGGGGAACGGGGGGGTACTGTCACTGGGGGGGCGCACTGCATGAAAGGTGCTGCCCTGTGTTGTCTGTCATTCATATGCTAGAGGGGGAGCGTTTGTTCATTTTCAATGAACTGCTGCCTTCCTGAAACACATGAATGCTACATACTGCGGGGAGGCATTCCTCTTCATGCAGAAGCCACAAGCCGGCACTGCTGCCCACACAGGGCAAGTCTGCATCCTCTCTGCTAACCGGCATCTCTGCCCCCCTGGTACTGCTTAATGGATGTGACATGCCAGTGCTATTAAAATAGTGCACATACCATATACATCGATACACTCAGTGCTCTGATAATAGATTTACTTACACATCTCAAGACAAAGATCTCATAGTTGTCTGTGTGTAAATCCAATATACCACTGGGTACAGCGCTTGTAAGGCATAAAAACGCTTTTTAATAAGCCTAGACAGAGAGCACCATGCTTAGTCTGTGTATAATTCATCTACAAATCAGGAACATGGAAGAATTGCAACTTATAGCACTAATGGTTCACCTTTAGTGCACAGTGGTTCCTATAATGCCCAGACATGAGGACAAAGCATCCCTTAATCCTAATATTTGGCCATCCATTCACAATAACTAGCCCACTATAGCTGAGGCACTGGAAGTGTGAGCCATTTCTGCCTTGGATACTTTTTTTGCACATATCAATCTTTAGATGTATTGTGTTATTGATTTCTGTTTTGTTTTAGCATCGTTCTACCCGTATGTGCTTGTGGCAAAATAAAGTATATCTGTGTTGATTGTATTTTTTAGGGTGTGCAGTAAGACCTTCTTCATACATAAAACATTGTCCACCTATGTGTATTAAAACACGAATTGTTTCAGGATCATGTTGTACTTGCATGATTAAACTAAAACACATAATTAAGATGAACATCCACATAGAAACCTAACCTAGTACACATGTTTGATATTTGAGGGACTCATCACCATGGTAATTTAGCAGGAAACTGTTTCCATTCATTGTTCCTTTACTGTATCCTATTTGTATTAGAATGTAAATAAGCTGTGAACTAATACTTTGGGGAAACGTGTATTTTAGCATATTTTATTATTTGGAGTTAGTTATTTTGAACGAAACCGCAAACCATAAAATATGCTAACATACACTTTTACCATACTTTGTTCTGATCTAATTTTACCCCAGTGGTAATGTTGATTAAACTTATATTGATATTGAATGTCAAAATCATAGGGCCAGGATTGTATTTGTTGAATTTGACCTTTGTGTTCCTTCATAGTAAAATGTATCCTATAATGGAGACTGTTCACATTCTTGTATTTAATTTAAATATTCTATCACAATTGTCAATGTGACTGACCACATCTAACTGAAGTTGCAAAGGTGTGGTTATTCTCACTCCTACTGAGTGCTTTGTATATTTTCTGATCTCATTGATGACAATCTCCATCCAACAGGTAATTTACATACTTCTTTTTATTTAGTAGTAAAAGAACAATCTCAATTAAATGTGATAAATTCCCAGACATGATATAGTCCATTGATGTGATCATACAATGTATATTATTTCCTTAAGCCTTTATTTTCATGGAGAAATATAGGGTATACATAAATGTAAACTGTGTATTATGGGACCTTAATGCCATTGAGGGGTTCTGGAGATACTATAATGAATCACAATCAAGACTGGTTTATAAATGTCTTCATAACCTCAACATGGCTTTCATATCTCTTATTACATGCTTTAACAGTGTGTATTGTTCCATAATAAAACTTTTTTTTTTTTAATTGGGTGGTGTTTCCATTAAGTTATGGTAACAGATATATACATGTCGGAAGTAAACTTACACATTATAATTGCCGATTTCATCCTACCTGAACAACATCGAATGGCTAAGTCATCGGCACTGTCAGTCTATCAATTGGGTGAAGCATTAAGCTGTAGTCGTTGCGTTACTTAGAGTACTCCTTTAAAGAGACTCGGAAGCTACACTTGGAAGTATTTTAAAAACAAAAAAACTTATTTTATAAGCCAGCTTCTGATGTTTAAAGTGGCACTTTGAGCACCGTAGACTGGAAATTTGGTCTTGCTGCACTTCCTGAAACATTCTTTCTAGGTCTAAATACTGTATTTCAAGTTTTGGCAGATGTGTTTTAATAATATGAAAATGGCCATTATATCAATTTGTTGTCCTGGTAAAATTCATGTCTTTCAGTCAAAAGGAATCTTTCTTTTACAACATAAGTTTTCCTGACTCATCCCATTTCGGAAGTAAATAATGGACATCACTGAGGCTCCTACAGGTATAAGACACAAGATGCAGTTCTTACTAAATGTTTTGTGAAATAACAGTCATACTATATTCAGGAGTATATCATTTTTCAACCCTTCACTTGTTTTCATTGATTTTAGTTCATATCGTTTAAAATGAAGGTCGTATTTTATATAAATTTGATCTTTTTAAATGTAAAGCATCAAATAAAGCTGTGTAATAGTTCAGACCTTGAAATGAAAAACGTGCCTAGTTCTAAATACCCTGTTATATTAATTGAGTAAAATGTAATTATCAAAATGTTTAACATTTCTAGGATGCCTGTAAGGCTCCAGTTTGATTGTAGTTTAAATGGGTGGGTCACTGGTTCCTGCTGATTAGTCTTTAATTGTAATATATTTGAAGGTGTTTAGTCCCATTCATGAATTATTGGCCTAACAAAACTACCACAATGACTATAATACTTTTGTGTAGAGATAGTCTTTAACACAACACAGCTTTGAATATGGCTGCATTTGAATATTCATGTTGTCACACCCTGTTTGTGATGCTATTGTATGCTAGTTTGATAGTGGTCTTGTACTCTGTAAGCACAATAATCTGATGATCATTGATCCTATAACCCAACTCTGCAACTTTACATGCCTTAACTTATATGTGACTCTCTAACTTTCCAAAACACCATAAAACCTGTACATGGGGGGTACTGTTATTCTCGGCAGACTTCACTAAACACAAATATTAGTGTTTTAAAACAGTAAAACCTATTACAACAATAATATAGTCCATAAACATGACATTCGTTTGTAAAAAAAAATGCAAAAAAGTCACTTTTACTTAAAATATCATCGTTGTAATACAATTTACCAGTTTTAAACACTAATATTTGAGTTCAGCGAAGTCTCCCGAGTAAAACAGTACCCCCTATGTACAGGTTTTATGGAGTCTTGGAGAGTTACAGGGTCAAATATAGTGCTTGCGAATTAAATTCTCTGCACTTTCTCCCTGTGTTAGGCATGTCAATCAAATTTTAATTAATCAAATCACATAATTATGTTAAAAGATTACTTAAATATACACGTAGAATTTTAATATATATGCATTTATAGGTATTTAAATTCTACGTGTATACTAATATAATCTTTTATGTAATTATATGTATTTATCTATATATATATATTTGCGGTTATTTGTATTTTATATATATATATATATATATATATATATATATATATATATATATATATATATATATATATATATATATATAACCAAATACAGTTAGAATAATACGTATATATAATATATGTGTATATATCTATTTTATATATATATATATATTATATATGTAACGTCAGTCTAAGTGTATTTTAATATTAATATATACTTATATTAATATTAAAATATATTACGTATGATGTTATATGTATATAATATGTATATATATATATTATATATATAAATGTATTTAATTTTACACATGTCTAATTTTTTTTTACATTTCCCACCAGCAGGGGGACTGTCTGCTATTTCAGACAGTCCCCCTGCTGGCAGATCCACAGCCAGCTATAAGGGGCCATGTGATTGCTCTTTGAGAGCGATCACATGGCCCCCGGGGGCCTCATTCACCGGAGGAGGGCTGCCTGGGCGGTCTGGCAGCCCTCCAGAAGATGATCGCGGCGGAGGTAAGTACCGCCGGTCCTCTGGGGCTGAAAGCTGCGACGGCGTGAAGGGGTTAACAGTGCAGTTTTTTTTTTTTTTTTTTAAAGCAATGTTTACATTGCAGGGTTAAGTCCACCTCCAGTGGCTGTCAGTATGACAGCCACCAGAGGTGCTTCTGCTGTACTGACGCAAAGCCCCAAAGAAAAGCATTCATTCACTGCTTTCTTATGGGGAGGTTTGAATGTGCAGGGCTTGTTGCGCATTAGGTGCCCAATGCTCCTCTATGAGGAGCATTTTTAGTTGGACAATTGCCTCCTCCATCAGCATTAAGAGAGACTCAGCGTTGGGAAAAAAAGCCTTATTTAAAAAAATAAACAAAACTTGAATGCACCCAGGTGGAGGGACCTGAACAAGTAATAGGGACAGGGACACTTTAGCATTAGGAATACAAATTTGTATTCCTAATGCTATAGGGTTGCTCTAATAATGTATTAAAAACCGAAGGGTCATATTGACCACACACAAAAAAAATCACTATTTGGTACATATACCCATAATGAAAACATGCATGTATTTAGCTAAACATGTTGTCTTTGGGGTATGTTTAAAAAGAGCTTGCAAAATCTGCAGTTCTTATGTCTGCCGCATTTGTACGCTCTTCTCTTTTTCCTCAGTGCAGACTTTCAGCGACAAGTGCGAGGTAGGAGCTGGGGAGAGCCAAGAATAAGAGGCAGGAGCCAGGGAGCTGAGAAACAATAAGCCCCATGCGCACAGACTCACTATGTTTTGCAAAAGCAGTGGCAATCCTGCCACTAACACAAACTGCAGAGGGAGAGAACTAGCTCTGACAGCTAGGTAGGTATTTCTTAATTGAATTATAAATGTGCTGATTTCTTATGGAAATGGACACTTTTATAATGTTCAATTTAATGGCATACTCCATGCACATTAAGTGCTTTCTGAATAACTTTCTTTTGAGCTACCATCACCCATATTCAGGATACAACTACATAGATTGAGTTAGTACTTCAGTGTG